ACTGTCATATTAAGGGCCTGTCTTCTTCAACTACACAATACTACATATATAATACTTACATTACATTCATATAACTCATACATAACATATATATAAGTTATATATAATATAAATACCAGAAAAAAGTATTAGAAGTACTATTAGGAGGCAGATGTGGGTTAGGTTTAGGGCAAACACATAAAGAAATTGTTTCAATCACTCACTCTCTCAGCCATCATATGTCTCTCGCACTCAATGATAATGCTATAGATTTAACAGAGATTTTCGATGAGATTATTTAAAATCTCACCAAATAATAAATATATATATATATATATTGGAACAATTCAATTGCATTTTATTTTATTTATATATATATATAAGTATAATATTACTTGTTATATATTTAATATGTTTGAAGGGATCACTAAAAATATTTGTACTCAAACTTGTCTTTTACAATAGCTTTTAGATTGAGAGACAAGTCATAAAAATCCTAAATTATAATACCAGTGCTATTCAGGAAACATATTATATTATATTATATAGATTTGAATTTAAATTCCCAATTCATTTGCAATCCCTATCTGTTTTGGAAAAAACTAATAATAATAATAATATTCATATATATAAATAATATATTAATGCATATTATATATAATCACAGTTTGAGTGCATTCCTTATTGAGAGAGATTTCAATCAATTCAAATGACATAATTGCCATCAAATGAGCGCAAATTTATAACAAATGAATGCCAACATAATAACAACAATATTAATACATAAGACATACATAAATTGAAAAAATTGATTGTTTTTTTAAATGAAACAAAATAATTAAAATTGGAGTATAGTACTGAATTATAATTATTGCAATAATAATAATAATAATAATATAATCATAACATAGGTTTTCAATAGAGAAATGGTGTCAATCATTCACTTTTCATCTGAGAAATTAATGTTTTTTAATCTTTTTTAATAATCATTAAAAAAAAGTTTCTTATTATTATAATTTTCTCGCTATACTAAAAAAATAGCAAAAAAAATATTTCGTAACACACAAAATATAATGTATTAATTAATTATTTTATGGAAATAAACTTACGATATATAAAAAAAAAATATTATATCAAAACTCATATTTATATTATATAATTTATATATATATATATATACAGTATATATATGTTTGCCTCTTATATTTCCTCCAATCCTTATAAAAACTCATAACTCCAATGGCGTTATTAAGGACTTTAACAACAACAGTGAAATATCTCAAACTTTAATATAAAGGATAACAACCATAACATAACATAAAAAATAATAAGAGATTTAAAGGAAAAACTACAGCAAAATAGTTTTTCCAGAGAAACGAAACTACATTTCAAAAAAAATAATAATAAAAAGAAAACATCAAAAAGATATGTTAAAAATGTTTAATAAAGTCATTGATAAATACGATCTAAAATATGAAACATATGATAACATATATTATAAGACATATGATATAGAGAGAGAAAAATATGGGATAAAATTGGGAGAGTTTTGGAGAAAATAATGAATTAGACTCTGAATAAAACACATTCAATAAGAAAACAACACAACAAAAAAAGACAACAAAACTCATTGTTTGTATCGGAATCTGTCAACGGATCTCATAGTTATATATATATCGCACAGTTATATATACGAATATACTATAAATATCTAGCTTATGTATGTTATGAGATGCCGGATATATAATGGCCAAACATTTAAGAGCACATACACATTGAGAGTGAGAGAGAGAGAGAGAGAGAGAAAAAAAGAAAAACAGAGAGAAAGACAGACATACAAAAACCCCAAAGAATCCAAACATTTTAGCAGAGATTACATATTGTCTGCAATTTTTCGAGGAGTGGACCGTATACTGTATAACATAAACACAACATAAAATGGGGTCGACTTTAGACACCAGTACCAGCACTCACTCGACAACTCATTCATACAAAACACGACAGTCCATAGCATAGTCATTCATATCTATTCAAACATTTTTTTGTGATATTCAAAGATTTATACAATAGCTCAGAGAGAGACATACTGGTGAGATATGCAGCACATATATGCATTGCACAGTAATCTATATTCATAGAGAAAACCGGAGAAGCGATATAAAAGGAAAAAATAATGGGACATACGGTCTCTCTCTGAGCAAAAGTATAGTGAAAATAAATGAAGTACACAGAAAATTGTGACAAATGGTGAGACAATCGTGAAAATAGTTTTGGTTTTTTTCAAACCAACACTAAACTAATCAAAATAAAAACGTATAGTTTTTTCCGGCACCCATATACTTATATACTGTATATTCCCAACACACCAACACAATATCATTCATCCAAATAATACTATACATATATATATATATATAAATATATATTCAATATTATAAAATTGAAATAAAATCTATGGACCAAATTAGTAGGACCGACATACACACACTCACACATAGGCCATACTATCTAATTATATAATAATTAATGAAATGTTTGACTGTTGTGATTGTCAGATAACAGAAAATTAAATTGAAAAAAATCGTATTATAAATCTATTGAAGGGAAACACCACCAAATAAGGTTTGACAGCTATAGATGGTGGGGAACACCGCTGTTTGTATTATTGTAATCAACTATTTAATAGTTTTGATTATAATAAATATTCTCTCTCTCTCTCTCTCTCTCTCTCTCTCTCTCTCTCTGTTTCTACATATATTGAGGCGTGCCTTACAATATAAAACTGTCGATTGCAGAGCACATGTATTACACAAAAAAATACAACATATCTCTCATACATAGACAAAATATACCATCAAATAAAAAATTCATTTATAATACCATATATTTCTTTATGAAATAAAGTGCATATATTTTCCATCCAGAGTTAAAAAAAATATATAAATATAAAAATGAAAATATAATTGACTACATTTCTGGCAAACACACATTCATAATACATATATATAATATTGTATATTATATATATACACACAAAATAAAACAGTAAAAAACAACATTACATCAAAATAAATGAGTGAAAAAATTAAAGAAAAATAAATATATTATAAGGTTTGGGTGTTAACTATTGCTTTGGCATTTCAACAACAAAAAAACACTACATATTTATATCAATATTGCTGACAAAATTCATTAGAAAATAATAATAATCATAAAAATAATAATAACTAGAATGATAGATAAAAAAAACTAAATTAAATAAAACAACACAAAAAATCATTACATATATCCATATTTAAAAAAAAAACTTAATTTCGCACATAGGATCCCTCTCTCAAGTTTTTTTAGAAAAGTTTTAATAAATGATTATATAGAAAATATATAGTAGTTTATAAAGATATATCAATACAACAACAAAAAAGCACTAATAAAATATTTTTGCATTAAAAATTTAGAGCTCATTTAAAATGCAATTATTTAATGTATGATAAGCGAAACATAACATTCACATAAACATTCATCATATAAAAGCAAATTTAATATCTATTATATAAAGAAAAAATTTTTAATCTAATTTTTATGTCTTTTTTTGTATTTTCCAATCATATCTATCATAGAAAATTAAATCAATATTTAGACCAAAACATATAAAAAACAACTAAATTCACATTTATATGACATATAAATTATTTGACAAAAACATTTTTTTATTTAATATAATAACATATAACAAAAAATATAGTGTTTATATATATATAGCTAATAGTTATATCAATGTGTGTGTCTGTATATGATATGTCTTTTTTTCTCTCTCTCAGGTTATAATAATAATAATAAGTTATAATTGAAATGTTAATTAAAAATCATTACTACATGACTGGTATTTTATGTTTTTGCTGTTCAATTTTGAGGCCCTAATAGTCACATAAGGGGTTTTTAATAATAATAAAAGCTAATAGTAATCAAGAAAAAAGCGCTAATAAAACAACACAACAACAACATAACTAATAAGAAAAAACATTAATTTTATAATTAAATTCAACAACACATTTGTTTGGTTGGAAACCCCTTTTTTCTCACTGCATCCCAATATCTATGGGTTATAATGTCTGAGCTAATAGTTTTGGCCTCAAATTGCAAGCTTTTTTTAATGGCTTTCCAGTCACTTCTGAATCTAATTATGAAAAACATTATTTATATATTTTTGATTTTATTTTTAATAATAATAATATAATTTATACACTCTATAGAGTGATGTGAGTGTATATAGTATATACAGTACAGTATATTGTGTATATATATACTGTAGTTTATGTTTATTATGTATGCCTTTTTAAAAACATAAATAAAATTTCAATCCTTTTATGTTTTTGACGAGAGAGAGAGAGAGAGAGAGAGAGAGAGAGAGAGAGAGAGAGAGAGAGATTGTATAAAATATTTGATGTTTTTTAAAACAACAGCTAAAAACTATTGCTTTAACAAACACATCATATTTACTATACTTTACATCCATTTCTCATACAATATAATAAATTTATAATAAAATAATAATAAAAATAAAAAACAGCAAAAATCATTGTTTGCCTTTTTTCAAAAATTGAAATATAAATGTTTATATAAACTGCAATAAAAACCAATGCAATGTTTGTCAAATGGGTTTAACTAATAAAATAAATAAATAAATAAAACATTTATATATTGAATCGATTCAATTGAATCAATGCAAACACTAACTAATAAACAAATGGATATAACATACATATGTGACAATTGATTTATATATAGATTTTTAACAACAAAGTGTTAATCAATTTGATTGCCATATATATGATATGATATTTATGAAGCAGTAAATCAATTGTCACATAATCGCTAAAAATGTCAATTAAATGCCAATTATGTGGACAACCAATTTAGTTGGCAGACAAACAAACATAACATACATTATAATGGAAACAATCGAGGAATACCATCTTTTTAATGGTATGTCCATTAAAAATGCTAATATTAACAACACTTACATAGGATTAGATGAATTCCAATAGATGTCCGGCAGTCGGGCACCGGCGGCACTGCCGCTGATTGTGGCGACAATTATACAAACAAAGACTGTCTGTACAATCATGTCATCCGTAGTGGTGGTCAACCACACAGTCCTCCTAACTACAGATTTTGTTGGGTTGGGGGTTGTTGTTAGTCAATCATTAAAAATCAAGTCAACAATACACCATGTCTTTGATGGTGATGATGATGATGGTCAGTGGCCCAATGGCCAAACGGGAGTCTTTTAAAAATCACTTGTCACTGGTCTGAGACACACTGTCACAATTGGCTGTCAGTGTCATCCAAAGCACTGGTCAGATGTTGATATGATAAGCACTGGTAGTCGACGACAATAATAATAATGATAATAATAATCACTTGTAGTCATCCATTGAGAGTCATGTACTCCATGTTTGTCTCTCTTTTATATTTAATATATATTTTTGGTGTTCACCTATTCATTCAGTCATTCATTCAACATATGAAATGGTGTTTAGGGCACAACCATTCACAGCAACACTGACAGCACTGTCTATACATACATACATACAGACATAGACAGTCAACAGCAGCAGCAGTAGTAGTATAGAGAGTTAGAGCACAGGGCATACCAGTGCTTAATAAAACCAGTGCTACAACAAACACACAGTGGAGAGCTTATGTAGTTATAGAGCAGTACTTGTAATGACACGCCAAACAACAACAATAAAAAATAAGTTTGTCCTCCGATGCCGACTGGTGTCGTCATCTGTGGATCAGCTGAGATGATGTCGACAATACAAGTCAACCATCACCATCACTACCATAAGCAATGACATGCGCCATATGGTAGGCCAATAAGCTGCCTGTGCTAGCAATTCAAATGGTGTGTGCGCTGTCACGTGACAACTATTGGCGGCACTATTGTCTGTATGTGTGTATTGTTTGGTGTGTTTTCAGCGCTAAATATATATATATATATATACTGACAATGAAATGTAATAATAATTATTATTCAATCAGTTTTATTGTTTTACATAATAATAACCGATTAATAAGTAATTTTATAATAAAAATATGATTTTATAAAATTAGTTTTAAAAGTTTAGTTTTAATCAAATTTGTATATTAATTATATATATATATATATATATATCTAATCGTGACTTAAAAACTCTATAAATTAATGTAATCATTGAAAGTGTTTGTGAAAACCAATTATTTATTGTGAAAATAGGTTTGTATTTTGTTTTACATTGTTGTCATTTTTGAGGCCAATATGTTGTTGCGGTCGCGCGATATATATATATATATATGAGAGACAACTTAATTGTTGTCTAACAATACAACTGATTGTTCCAATCAATTGGCTGTTGAATCCATAGATCTGTTTCAGTGATAGTTGTTTTTGTTTCTTTCATTATAATAATAATCTGTTTGCCTCTCAATGCGTTTACGACGGCAGCCATTGAAGGACACAATGTTGGACACGGATGACGAGTCGAGCCGATGTTCGACTGAAGCAGTGGTCACGTCGACCACAAGCTTGGGTTCGCTGGCCAGCAGTACTGTCCAAATGGTCAACAAAAAGTGTGTGAATCGCGGCAAATGGACCAAAGATGAAGACGATAGACTTAAGCAATTGGTGGACACCTATGGCGAACACAACTGGGCTAATGTGGCCACAAATTTTGTCGATAGAACTGACATACAGTGTCAGCAACGATGGGATAAAGTGGTGAACCCGAAGCTGATCAAAGGTCCGTGGACTAAACAGGTCAGTCATTACTATAATTGATTTTTAATCCTTTTGGCGCCAAAGCCATTGATGACATCTTATCCGGTAATTGTTGGTCTAATATCTGTATTGTTTGGGTGTGACGATGGGTTGGCCATCAATAGGAAGACGATAAGGTTATTGAATTGGTCGAGAAATATGGTCCAAAAAAGTGGACTCTAATAGCCAAACAATTGGAGGGACGTATCGGTAAACAGTGTCGCGAGCGATGGCACAACCATTTGAATCCCGATATTATTAAGACCTCGTGGACTGAAGAGGAAGAGCGATCTATTGTCAATGCGCATCTACAATGGGGTAACCAATGGGCAAAAATTGCCAAACTGTTGCCCGGAAGGACCGACAATGCTATCAAAAATCATTGGAACTCTACACTCAAGAGGAAGGCAGAGGCCATTATCAGAGGTTCGCCGAATATACCGCATAAACGGCGTAATAGTAAACGTAACAAAAGTCTTAACAATACTGTGACTAATATCGCAAATAAGTTAAACGAAAACTTATGTCAGGTATGTCTTTAAAAAACATGTTATGTCGCGACCAAAATGTTTTTAATTAATTGACAACTAATTTGTTGATTAGTCTTCTGTGACTACATCATCGATAACTTTGACTCCGGCCATGGCTTCATCTTTTACTAAACAGTTTGAAGCATTTTGCGATACAGTTACCAGTGCTAACCGATCACTAAATGATGGCCTACTATTCAATCTAAAGCCGGTGCAAAATAATGGTTTTCCGTCCAATGAAAACGAAGAAAGCGATGACGGCCTAAATGATTTGAGTGATCTATTGTCACCATTGAATGCCGATGTGATTGAACGCGAACTGACCGAATTGGCCTCGTCAACCGGCGGCGCGTTTTGTGATCTTACCGTACAAGAACTGGTCTCTGCTATTGACGAACCACTTATGAGTTCGCCTCCAAAGAATCCATTGTCAGCACTCGATGTCAATCTAAACGAATCGCCCATTTCGGCGACATTTCATCCAACAATACTGAAAAAGAGACAAACTCTTGTCGATTATCAAACGCCACCATCGATGAAGAAATGTGGCAACCATTTCAATGATAGTCTCATATCAAACACCACAATAACGGCATCGTTTTTGGCGCCGCCACCAACTTATCAGGACTTCAAGAGTCTACCATTTAGTCCGACACAGTTTCTGAACGGACCAACTCGTTCTATCACTTCGACGCCAACTAACTTTAGTCCGTTGAAAAATCGGTGCATTCAGAGACCCAGCGAATGGTTACCAATGTTTGAAACACCACCCGCTTCTGATGTCAGCGGCATATCTTTGAGAAATAAAGAGGTAACAAACAATTGACCGCTTATTGGAGATTTTTAGTTGAATGAATTGATAAGATTTTTCTTTTATAAAACTTTGCTTTAATTAGAATGTCTTTCCGTGTCGTAAATCCCGTAAATGTTTGTCCGCAACGTGGAGTTCTGGCGGTGATGTAGCTGTTCCCGGATTAACCACAACCAGTACTCCGGTAAAAACGTCTACTCAACATATGGAAAGTTTTCAATTGATTGAAACTCCGGTATATTTTTAGTTAACTATTATCTATAAAAACTGATTCAATTAAACAACTGCTGTTGTTGTTCGTGTAGAGCAAGACTTTAAGTCACGATTCGTCATCCATGTTGTTGTTTAGTCCGCCGGCTATACTACGCGACCAAATGACTGATGGCATGTGTTATAATCCATCAAATAGTTTACAATCAGTGGGCAATCATACTATGAGTAGTAGCGGTTATATAACACAAAGCATGAATGATAGTCATGACCAGACCTGTACGATCCTCGGTGTTCAGCCACTATCGGCGGCCATCATCAACACCAAGACAGCAGATTCTGTGTCACAACGAAAAGTAAGTATTGAAAAAGATTTGATTTATTTATTTGTAATATTTTTTATTACCGGTATTTAAAATTTATGACAACTTTTTTTTTATTCAAATTGTTTTTATTTAATTTTTACGGCTCAGCCAAAAGTTGATTATTATTTATTTTTAAAAAATTATTTTATTTTTAATTGCAATTTTTAAAAATCTATATAAAAATACATATAATTTAAATATCAATTTAGTGCTCTAATTGTGCCACTCGTAGTGTTGGGCAACACTCATATCAACCAAATTGTTGTCAATATATATGCCGTAAGTTTCGGTTTAATTGCAGGATTACATGCCAGTAGTGTCATGTGTTGTATTTGTTTTGCTTGTATTTATGTTATGTGATGTTTGATGCACCGCTTTTTTGCACAATTAGATGAATTGCTTTTTAAATTATTATATTAGTATTAGCTTTTTTTGTTGTTTTAATTGTGTGGTTATTATAGTTGCTATAATTTTTTTTAATGTTGGGCACAAATTAAGAGCACACATCAGAGACTTGAATTTAAATTAATAAAAATCTCTCACACAATGCTATTATTATTAAATTAATATTAAGTTATAGTTGACTACCGCTTATAAGCACTCATAAGAGAGCACCGTTGCGTTTCAAGTGCACACAGCCTTAAAACATATTTTTTGTTATCTTATTATTAATAATAAAAACTAATAATTATATATTTATCTCTCTCTCTCTCTCAAAAAAAATATGAATCTATAAATTTCAGGTGAGATTAATGAAAGGCACGACATGTATAGCAAGCCGTTCCAAAGCCATCCGAACCCACAGTACAACAACAGCAGCAACGGTGTCGTCCAGCAAAGCTCAGGCCCTGCAACTGCACTGGCATTCAATCGCATGCGGCCGAACCCAGCATCAAATCGAGCTGACCGAACAGGCACGCATTTGGGTTCAATCGTACAACCGAGACAACCACCACCACCATATGGCCACTATAACCAACAACAACAACAGTCACAATCACACCAACCACTACAACAACAACAGGTCAACCCAATTAGCCACCGACTGCATCATAACCAGCAGTCCCAACAGCACCAACACCTCATTCCCGTACTTTTTAACCCCATAGAAGGCATTTACCACTATTTCTATAATAATTAATCGCAAAGTTATATATATATACATATTTTTCCCGATTAAATAGATGCAAAAATCTAATTTATATATAAATTTTTAAAAGTATTATATCATTTATATTGTTTTTTTTGTTTTCAATTATCATATGTTTTATATTATTTCTGTTTCTTAGAGAAAAAAAATTTTGTTTTAAGTTTTTATTTTTAAATATTTCATAAATAGATAAGTTATATTTAACGGTTTATTTGAATTTAATAGTAAGTTATTAAATATATATATAATTTGTAATTATAAAATATATATGGGATTAAAACACGGACACAAATATATACACATAAATACACACAAACACTTGAAAAAATCAATAATATATAACTTTTATGATATGATAAACACATTATGATTGCATTTAATTTGCATTTATATATTATTAATTTTATTATTGTTAGTCTCACTTTAATATAATATACCCGGTTTTAAAAACAACACAAATTTATAAAGCATTTTATAGTATTTTTATAATAATTATTGTGCACTTTAAATGAATGTTTTATAAATTGTTTTTTTTATAAAATACCAATCAATTATAAATATGTTGATTTATAATTAATGACTGAACAAAATATAAATTTGATAAATCAAACCATAAATCATTAAATTGGAAAGTATTTTAATTTATAAATTATTAAAATAATTTCTTAGATTATTTTTTACTTAATATTATTATTATATTTATATAATAATTTGTATGTGATTTGTAATCATTGATTACACCCATATGTCTAGTTTTTTATATGTTATAATAACTAATACTATGTACTATACTATATATATATAATGGGATCGTATGATAAATTGTATTCAAAATATTGTGAATAATTTTTTGAATCCACAATTTATTGACTTAAATTATATACTTAATTAATCACAATTATTTTTTTCTATATTTATAATGTTTGGTTATTAAATTAATGCATAAACTTTTATTATTATTATTATTTAATTAAAACTTGAATAAACATTTTGTGCAAAACTATTTACAAAAATATTTTTAATTAAGTTATAAAATTAATTTATATATCCTATAAAAAATAAATAAAAATTGTTTGAATGCTTGAAATAATAATTTATGCGAAACATGTGTGGGTATTACACTAATAATAAACTTGAAAAATAAATAAGTGTAAATTCAATAACTTTATTATTATTATTTATCACATTTATAGGCAATGATGGTGTCGTTTATTTGATTATCACAAAATATTTTTCAAATAAATTATTAGTAAATTTTTCAATTCAAACCCCCAGAGATATTAATGACCTAAAAATTAGTTTTTAATTTTCTGCTGATTACAAGTTTCAGCAAAAAAAAAAGAAATGTTGTTTTCCAGCATTTGTGATATTGAAATTCAAATTAAATAATTTGAAATGTTTGTCAAACAAAAAACTACTAATACTTGTTTTTTTATCAGTCATTGAAACAGTTTTAAGTACTGTATCATTATTTTTACACTACTATTGGTGGGACTGGTAGTGATGGAAAAATATTATACATTTAATATAATGGTATGAACTAATCTCTGGGATGTGATAGCAATGATACCCTATCCTCTCTCTCTCTCTAAATATATATCCAATACTTCTAGTATTGTAGTCATGCGTCGATCAAATGTTTACATGAATTGCAATAAAACTTAACCCAAAAAAAACAAACTTTCAGACCTGACATTCACATTGACATTGAATTATAATAATAAAAATTATTATCCATAAAAAAATATTATTAAAAACTTTGCCATCAATTCATAAATAATTTCACACACCCACCCCTCTGAAAAAATTAATTGTTGTCCCCCCTGTCTCTCCCCAATTAACATTATGTTAAGCACCGGGCGATTTGTTTATGTGCTAAGTCTGGATGCGAACAGCGATCGCCAGTCAACTCTCTTCCGATGCAATAATAACGATACGATTCAATTCATCTATGGATCGACACTATTGGGCCGTAAGATATCACTGTTTACCGACTACAGCAAAGAGTCGGCAAATTTCAAGCGCAATACTTACCAGAAACTGGTGTTTACCGATGAGATGACAACAATCCGTTTTGAAACGTCCGGTTCGTTTCATTTTTATTACACCGAAACGGGATGTGATGTTGTTTGCGGACAGTTCTACATTGTGGTCAATCCGCAGCTCAAAGTGGGTTCGGGTGCTAACACACAACTACTGGACTTGAATGCCATTCAGTGTCAAACAGTACTGACCAAAAGTTTGGGCCAATTTCCCACCTGGAAGTCGAAACTTGAGGTTCGTATATGTGATATATATATTAATGATTATTAGTTGTCAACTATTTTATTTGATCCAAACTTGCGGACAGGTGTCACACAAAACCGGTTACAATATGATACACTTTACGCCAATCCAAGAACTGGGTGGTTCCAACTCGTCTTATTCGTTGGCGGATCAGCTCAAACTAAATCCTATATTCAATACCAAAGAAAAGGAGTGTCGTGTCGAAGATGTACAACAATTTATTGAATGGTTGCGTACAGAGTGGCAGATATTGTCGTTGACAGACATTGTGTTGAACCATACGGCCAACGAATCGCCATGGCTTCAGACACATCCCGAATGTGCATTCAATTGTTTCAACAGTCCATGGCTTAGACCGGCCTATCTGTTGGATCGTATTCTTTATCGTATGACTACCGATATAGTTGACGACCGCTGGAAGTCGAAAGGTTTGACCACCGAAGTTAACAGTGAAGATCATTTGAATCTGATTCGTAAAATACTTCATGAAGAATACTTACCAATTGTAATGAAATGTTTTTTTTCAAATTATTTTAATTCAAATTTCTAAATACTGTTTTCTCATATTTTATTACTGTAGTTGAATATACATGAACTGTATTTAGTCGATATCGACACGACTTTAAATGAATTCAAAGAGTTTTTGATCAAATATTGTAAGACTTCAAAACCTGAGAAACCACTGAATGACGAAACTCTAAAACTGGAGATTATTGTCGACGATAAGTATCGACGATTCAAATCAACAATAGATCTCAATATTGCACTGAAGATCGTCTTAAATGAAGTCGAATTCAATGGAGATAATGATCAATGGATTAATTGGTCGACAGATAACATCCGACACAAATTAACAATACTTAACGAAGTGATGACAAATGAGATAAGGCATCACTTGTCGGATGCCATCGAGAATGTCATAAAAACGGCACGTTATGAACGTATTGATAGTTGGGGTCCCAAACATAAGATAATCTCTCTAAAGTGTCCACTTGTTTGTAACTATTTTACTCATAAAGGATCTGATATGGATCTGTTAGATGAACAGAAGTTAGCTTTCGATGACAACGATTCAAAGTTTCTGATGGCTCATAACGGATGGGTTATGGGTGACGATCCGCTCAGAAATTTTGCTGAAAAAGGTATTTCAAAAGTTTTCGAAAGTTTTTCAGAAAAAAAATAATTACCATTATTTTTATTATCAATTGTTATCAAACTCTTGAACTATAGGTTGCAATGTCTATATTAGACGAGAACTGATAGCATGGGGTGATTCAGTAAAACTGAACTACGGTTCGGGACCTCAAGATTGTCCATTTTTGTGGTCACATATGGAGAAGTACGTGACCCAAATGGCCACTATATTTCATGGCCTACGGCTAGACAATTGTCACTCGACACCCATACATGTGGCTCAACATCTCATTGACAGTGCCCGTCGAGTCAATCCTAATCTCTACTTAATCGCTGAACTGTTCACAGCTCACGAAGGCTTAGATAATATATTTGTCAATAAATTAGGAATTAATTCGCTTATACGGGAAGGACTATCGGCACACGATTCTCACGATTTGGGCCGTCAGGTCTATCGTTTTGGTGGCGAACCTATTGGTGCATTTCCTCCAGGTTTGGTTAATATAAAATTATTATTTTTTTTTAAATTATTGGTATTAAATATCTTTAAACAATCAGAGCGTCTAAGTAGTGGACAATCGGAATTGTTGGTATTACCGTTGCGGCCGAGTGTCTGTCACGCCATATTCTTCGATGTCACTCACGATAACGAATCGCCAATTATCAAACGTTCGGCATATGACCCATTGGCCTCATCGGCATTAGTCGCAATGACATTCTCGGCCATTGGCTCCAATCGAGGACACGACGAGTTAGTTCCGCACCACATAAACGTTGTCCACGAAACCCGTGAATATAAATCGTGGAAAGAAAATCTGGATTCTGACGATAAAATTATTGCCAACAATAGCCTGTCTATGGATTCGGCAATAATTAAATCAAAACTCGCGTTTAATAAACTTCACGAATGGTTGGCAGTCAACGGCTATAGTCATCAGTTTGTCGATCAGCGAGACTTTGATACTGTTGCCGTCACCCGTCATAATCCTGAAACCCACGAATCAGTAGTATTGGTGGCCCGAACTGCTTTTCATTGTCCAAAAGATCCTAAAGCATCACCTTATTTGCCTCCACTGCGAATCGATGGTATTATTGATAAACTGTTGTTTGAAACACATATGACGGGCGAACCGGAGATCAACTTTGTTCAGCACAAAGAGTACATCAATGGTTACAGCGAAATAAGATCTGATATACGAACTGACTTAGCACTGGATGACAGCAAACTAATCAAAGCCAACAAAATTGGTGACTCCTATGAAATTATTTTCAATTATTTTCCACAATCGGCTGTCATTGCATTCAAAGTATCGCTTAGCGATTATCACAAGAATGCATTGGAAAAACTTCGTGTATTTAGTAAACAATTGGACGATGAGTCCAGTGATGTCAACACAATTATCTCAAATCTATCACTGATTGATCTGAATTATCTGCTATTTCGCTGCAATCACGAAGAACATGATGACACAAACGGTGGTGCCTATAGTTTGCCTGTTTTCGGTCAAATGAATTACTGTGGAATCGCTAGTATTATATACTATTTGAGACACATTCGCACTCATAATGATTTAGGACATCCACTGTGCGGTAATCTACGGGATGGCAATTGGCTTATGGATTATATTGTCGATCGGTTAACAAAGAATCCGAATACAAAATCATTTGCCGATTGGTTGGCCAAAGTGTTCACTTCATTGTCACAAATACCTCGATATTTGATTCCTCGTTATTTCGATTCAATCATTACACGAATCTATACATCAATATTGGATCAAATCTGGAACCAGTCGTCACCATTTGTGCGAAATGGCTCGCGATTTGTACAACTATTAGCTCTGGGAGGTGTGGCGATGATTGGTACAAATAAAACAGCAGTTTTGCCGCCGCTTTCATCTAAAATTGTTGACGAGTCTCAATTGTTGGCCACAATAGCCGCTGGTTTACCACATTTTAGTTCTGGATATATGAGGTGTTGGGGTCGGGACACATTCATTGCTCTTAAGGGACTTCTCCTACTGACCGGCCGTTTCACTGAAGCAAAGCACATAATTCTTGGTTTTGCCGGAACTCTAAGACACGGTTTGATACCAAACTTATTGGACGGCGGAAGGAATTCCCGATACAATGCCAGAGATGCTGTTTGGTGGTGGCTTCAGGCCGTTAAAGACTATTGTCTTATTGCTCCAAACGGTTTGGAACTGTTGTCGCAATCGGTTCGTCGACTATACCCGACAGACGACTCGCCGGCTCTGTTGGCTTCCAGTGAAATAGTCGAGGAACCACTGTATAAGACAGTCCAAGAAGCATTACAACGACATTACGATGGCATTGATTTTGTTGAACGAAATGCTGGCAAACAAATTGATGAACACATGACTGCCGAAGGATTTCATATCAAAGTTGGTGTTTCTCGTGAGACTGGTTTTGTCTACGGTGGCAACCGATTCAATTGCGGTACTTGGATGGATAAAATGGGATCATCGGCTAAAGCCGAAAATAAAGGATTGCCCAGTACTCCACGCGATGGATCAGCTATCGAGTTGATTGGTCTAAGCAAATCGGTAGTCACTTATTTGGCTGATCTTAGCGATGATAATAAATACCCGTTCAAAGGAGTCAACGAAAGTGATGGCACAGTGTTTACCTTCAGAGAATGGGGTCTCAAAATTGAGGCTAACTTTGAAAAACATCTCTATATATCGGCCGATACTGAGCAACAGTATGTTAATCGACAACATATTTATAAGGATACGTTTGGGGCCAGTATTCCGTGGATGGATTTTCAGCTCAGACCTAACTGTTTGGTTGCAATGGTTGTGGCACCGGAATTGTTTGACAAGAATCACGCTATAGAAGCGCTCAAAATTGTCAGACAAGAATTGGTCGGACCGTTAGGCATCAAAACCCTTGATCCCAGGTTTTGTTTCAATATTATTATTATTATTTTAATGCATTATTTTACTGACCTATTAATGTGATAAATTTCCAGAGATCTGAAATATAATGGTGTTTATGACAATAGTAACGATTCGCACAATAAAGACTTAGCACATGGAGCTAACTATCACAATGGACCGGTATGTTGTTGTTGTTGTTGTTGACAACAAATTTAAATTTAATTTGCAAAAAAACTAGCATAGAATTCGTATAAATAAATAGATTAGAGAGGTTAAATTTTTTAAAAATATTACCTAAAAACCAAACCGAAATTTTCATAATTAAAAAATTTGATATTAATTATTATCTTTTTAGATAAATATAAAAATTATTTCGAGGATATTCTGATACTATACTGTATTATTGTATACTCTATCAAATATGCTTACTAATAGTAAATTGCTATAATTTTTATAATTATTTTTTATAGATTAAAAAAAGTGAGTTAAACTTAAAATTAGATAATCCTAAATTAAATCATATCAAATGTACAATAATTTTATACAAGAAATTGCCGTTTTATAAAATTATGATTTTTGTTTATTTGTTTAAATAGGAGTGGTTGTGGCCAACCGGTTATTATTTGGAAGCATTATTGAAATTCAATGATAATTATACTGAAACTGTTGCCTACATCGAGAGCTTATTATCTAATCACTTCCAGCACATTGAGTCAAGCGATTGGTTTGGTTTGCCTGAGCTGACCAATACCGATGGCAAACACTGTCCGCACAGTTGTCCGATACAGGCGTGGAGTCATTCGACTATTCTACAAGTGTTACACTCTATTCATTCAAAATAGATCTTAGATTTAATCATTTGTTTTGTTTGTTTGTTTTTATTAGTTTTATTATAAATTCATAAATATATATATTCATGAATATTAAATATATAGTTTATTTTTAAAAGAAAAACAGAGATTATTAATGTTATTCAAAAAAAATGTTTTACGATCAATAAAAAAGTGATTTATCTATTAAACCCAAAAATATTTTTTTATAGCAAACAATAAATTCAATGCTCATTACTCTATCAAAACTGATATTTGCTTTTCTTAGACATAATAATAATAATAAGATTTTTTTTCATAAATCATTAAACAGTGTTTAGATCATTAAACAGTAATTTGTTTGTTTATTTTATTTAATATTTACGATACTATCTTATAGTCTTTTTACTACTTGTTTGGTTGTTATTAATATATTGACGAAATTTTATGACATTTTTACTAAAAAAAATAATTTATTTGCTTCAAACCATTCTATATATTAAATAAAATAAATAATGTTAAAAGTAATTTAGTTATTCTAATATAAAAATCATTTTATTTTATTTCTTTTTTTTATTAATAACATATTTGTTTTTTATATAATTTATGCCTCTCTATCTATATATATATATATATTGTTTACATATAAAAAATATTTTATATGCTAATGCATATGTTGTTTTAATTTACTATTTTTATGATTTATTGAATAACATACACACAAACAAAAAAACATTAGTCAGTAGTTAAAGGTTGTAGACATTGAATATTATTGAATAAATTATTACATAATATAAATAATAAAACACACATTAAAAGCATATAAAAATTCCTAATCTATTAATAACTTGTCTAATGGTATACTAAACTAGTAGTGATTTTTTTCTTCTCTTTCATAACGAAAACGTTTTCATTATAATCACAGAATATTTTAGTTTAATCTCCACTTTTGCTGAATCTCTCTCTCTCTCTCTCTCTCTCTCTCTCTCTCTCTCTTTCTTTCTTTTTCTGCATAATAATACCTCTTAATTAATGCTTCAATAAAAATGTATTATACTTTTATATATTAATATAGTTTTTTCTTATTATTGTTGTTGTTGAATGAATCTCTCATTTAACTTAAACAATATAAAACCCTACAGTACTGTAAAGATATGCATTTAAGTTTTATAGCGCATCTCATGTGTACTCAATTTTAAGCCTATCAAAATGTTTTAAAGATTTTTTTTATCATTTATATATATAATCATTTATTATTTATGTCGATAAAAAATAATGTGTTAAATATATTTTCTCACTTAAATGTCTACTACTTAAATGAAGCAAAAAAAATTATCTTTATTTTTTTTAAATAAAAATTGCTTTTTATATCATAAACACACATTATATATATTAGTGATGATTGGAGTGATGTGGTATATATATATATATATATATATATATATAGTATATAAACTTAATTTATATCAATAGACATTTACCGTAGATTCAAAAGCATAACACACTATCATCACTAAAAACCAATGCTATAAACACATAAACACATACAAACACACATACATACACACTCTCTCTTATCATATTATAGTTTATAGCAAATTCATTGAACACATGGTGTGATTCCCACCAAACAATTGAATCATTTGTGAAGTGTTCAACCAATTATGGGATTAAACAAAAAATAAAAGTGATTGAGTATATTGAGTGCATACTTAAAGCTCTCTCTCTCTCTCTCTCTCTCTCTCTCTCTCTCTCTCTCTCTCTCTTCATTTCCATCTGCATCTCCATCACTCTCTCGCAGTGAGTCCAAGATTGAGAGCAATTGCTCCACAATTGAGGAGTAAAACCCTAATAGAAAGCATTTACAGCTATTATGAAGCAATAGAAAGCAATAAAAATGTGTTTTTCTCCGCAAATTGGAAAACATATTAACTATTAGTAGTCCTATTAGTTTGTTTGTGAAAGAAATTTTTAGCGATAAAATAGATGCGAAAATATGCCGATGGCTTAGACTCTCACACATAGACAACATACCATCCCATTCATTGCCCAAACAACTAGTGATAGCCAACCGGTGATGCAAATAGAAGATACATTCATGTATTGTATCAATTGAATCGGTCGATCCAATCGTATATATCATTGTTGGCTAAACTGTTTAATGGCATTAACGGTATTGTTGTTATAAATTTGGAGATACTATTCAATAAACATATCGTAACACATAATATAATATTGATTTATATTTTGAAAAAAATTATAATCTTTTAGTTTATATATTGTATATTGTTTTAAACATTGTGTGCTTTTAAATATAAAGTAATTTTCAGATTAAATGAATAATAATTCAAAAAATTCATCATTAAAGGTATTTTTACTAAATTTTTATTTGATTATTTATTTTTATATTATTGTATCAATTTTTAATATATGCTAATTTATAATTTAATTAATTTCAAAAAACAATTTTTTAAAAAATACTATATAATTGTATATTTTAATAATTAGAATAATTTGTTTATATTAAAAAAATATTTTTTATTTACATTGCAATTTATTATTTTTAAGTTTAGTAAAATAAAATTATTAAAAAAATTTGTAATTTACTGTAAATAAAACAACAACAAACAAAATTTTCAACAGTTTTCAATCGATAACATCATAAATGGTAATATCGGACACAATGAAGACCAGGACATCAAACAGCCGCCGTCATCACATAATTCTTCGCCAATTTCTTGGCCATCGCTATCATCTTATGGACTAAATGATGATATGCAGCCAAATTGTATTGATTTTCTAAATTATTGCCAATACTTTCAACAATTGTGCGATTATAAGGAACGGGAGAAAACAACAATAATTGGTAGTAGTCTTCATCATAATCATCATCATCAGCATCGGGACAATTGTGAAGCAAATAGAAGTTCATCGTTGGACACAATCAGAAGATTTCGCAAACCAAGTATTGAACGTAAGCCACGACAGGCCTATAATACCAAACAATTGGAAAGACTTGAAAATGAGTTTCAGGTATGAACTGAAAGTTGTATAAAAATTATTATAAAAAAAATATTTTATTGACATTTTTTTCCCCAATTGTTACCAATCAGAATGATAAGTACCTGAGTGTAAGCAAACGCATGGAGCTATCAATTGCTCTAAATTTAACAGAAGTTCAGATTAAGACATGGTTTCAAAACAGACGGTATGACACATCACTATAGATATGATATGTCTTAATCTAATTTTTGAAATTATTATTTTTTTTAAAAAATTGTTTGTATTTTAAATCTTAATTTTTTGTAGGACTAAATGGAAGAAACAGATGAATATTTATGAGACTAACAACAACTCTGCAGCTATTATTGGCGGCAAACATACCAACGATAGTATTGCACATTCATTAAGACACTGTTTGATCTGAAATAGTTGTCAAACATATCGACAAATTATTAATCATTTTTTTAAAAAAAGATAATATAATTATAATTTAAATAAAATTCATTACAGTATTTCATTTAAATTAATTTTGTAATGTACAATATTTTTCAAGATAATAATTATATAAATAGTCATATATATATATCTATATAAGTTAATTTGATAGGAAATATATTGATGTATTAGCAACAACAACAAAATAAAATCAATCAAATAATTAATTATAAATAATAATTACTATTATATTAGTCAAGAATATTCTGTATTATATATATAACTAAAACATTTAATAAAATTTAAGTTTAAATAAAATATTTCATAAATAAAAATTGAATAATTTTTGCTATTAGTTGCTACCAAAAACAATATATCAAAAAAATACATTAAAATTCATTAAAATTATAGAAAAATTAATAATTTATTAAATAAAAAATTTTTAATTAATGTTTTCAAATATTGTTCGAGTTTTCAATTGAGAGACAATCCCTGAAACACATAGTAAGCCATAGACGACAACAATAACAACAACACAACAGACTTTGTAAACCAAAGACACGAATTGTTTTTTAGTGATTATTATTGGAAACGATCGGACAGTTTATTGGATCAGCTATGGGTAACATAACCAGCGATCACATGGATTTAAAACACTTTACGGCTCCGCATAAGTGGCTGCCGGCTCACGAGTGGCCAAACGATCGCAAAGAGTCGCCGTACGACCCGATGTACGGCTTTCCGAACGGACGCAAACCCAGAGGTTAGTAAGGATTGAATTGATTGGCCACTAATGGCCGCCACTGCAGCCAATTGTACAGTTTGTCAATTGGATAGTATTGAAAGACCCGTTTTAATTGATTACTGATTGTATTGATTTTGTATTTTTCACAATTGCCAGAAATGATTGCCACCGAAGCCGAGATGGATTCGGCCAAACTGTTGCCCGAACAGCGCGACTACTGCGCCCACCTGTATATGGAGCTCAAGGGCTGTCTCAAGTCTAACTGTCCGCTCGGCTATCGCTGTCTACACGAACTGCACGCCTATCACGACTGCGAATGGGAGGATCAAGTGTTGAGAATGAAAGACTGGGAACGGGAGAAACGGCTCCGACAGCGGGACTTAAGGCGACAAAAACAAGAGCTCCGGGAATCCCAAGAAAAGTTAGGCTAACGTTAATTATGGAGAAATTATTTTATTTTTTTTGGTCAACGATTTTTTAGTGACCATTTGGGATAATTAATTAAAAAAAAAAACATTTGTATAGAGAGTCTCCTAATTAATTAATTGTAAAAATTTAATTATCACTTAATTTCGGACATCAAATTGATTTTCAATTTGATGTTTTAGTTGTCTTATAATAATAATAATTATTATTATTATTGAATAATAGGTTTTTTAAATAAAACAGTCAAAAAAAATTGTAGTTATTTTGTCATCAAATAAATCAATTTACAAAATCAATGTTTTTTGCAATTTTTTTTAGTTTTATTTTTTAAAAAAAGATTTAATTGATTACTGATTTCACTTCAGATTTGGACATAAGTAGCCAACAATTATTATCAACAAATTAGTGATAATTACTTTTAGATTTGTTGTTATGATGTGATCCGAGAGATGTGGTTATAATCAGTGAAAAAAACGAGAGAAAACCCTTCAAATTGAAAGTCAAACTCAGTTTATATATTTGAAAATTCATTGATTGCTTGGGAAACAAGTTTTTCAAGTTTTCCTCTCTCTCTCTCATCAAGTCTTCAGAAACAACAAATACTTTGATGGCGTGAACTGAGAGGTCATCCTCTGAATGGGAGAGAGAGAAACCTGTTTGGCTGATACACACAACACCAACACCAACAACAACAATAAAAAACATAACATCACTGCCAGCCGGTCGTCGTCATCGACAACGGAATTGATTGACAATTGATTTGAAAATAATGACAACTATATAGCAATGCCGACAACAGAAAGTAAAACAGCAAATAGAGTGAAGAATTCAAAGACGAAATCACAGACGACGTCGGACACCAAAAAGTTGTCCAATGATGACGACCGCCGTCTGATTGATGAAGACATTGCTTGGTATTTGGCATTTGCGACGATCACAGTACTGGCATTTGGAACCAGACTCTGGAAGATATCGGAACCAAATCATGTCTGGTATTATCACATCTTTTACCTCAATATCATATCTCTTATCTAATAAATATATCATTTTTTTCTCTGCCATTAAAACACGTGGTGTCTATACGTGGATCAGTTGGGATGAAACCCATTTCGGCAAAATGGGCAGTTGGTATATAAACCATACCTTCTTTTTCGATGTACATCCACCTCTTGGAAAGGTCTGACTCTAATTTAGGATATCATTAAATGATAATATTATATATATTTAACAATAATATTTCATCTGGTATTTGAAGATGTTAATAGGTTTAGCCGGTCATCTAACTGGTTATAACGGGACGTTTGCCTTCAACAAACCGGGCGACAAATATGAAGATCACCCGTACGTCGGAATGAGACTGTTTTGTGTTACATTGGGTACACTTATAATACCCCAGTGTTTCATAATAGTCTGGCAACTGTCCCGATCGTTGACCGCATCGACAATGGCCTCGCTATTCATAATTTTCGGTAATATATATATCATATGAAGTCCAGTAAATAATCAATTTTATCGGCAGACATTGGAATGATAACACTATCGCAATACATACTTTTGGATCCGATTCTGATATTTTTCATCATTAGTTCAGTATTTGGTAGCGTTATGTTTATCACACAAAATGATAAACCATTTTCAAAGAAATGGTGGTTCTGGTTATGTTGGACGGGTCTATTTCTTGCCTGTTCAATAAGGTATACCATCATCTGATGAACGAATGAATCAATTGTCATTGAAATCTAATGACTAATTTTTTTCTCTCCAATTAATTTAAGCGTTAAATTTGTTGGTCTTTTTGTTGTCGTATTGATTGGTTTACAAACTATTGCCGATTTGTGGCAAATATACGGCAATCTCTCGAATCCCTTAACTCTAATTGTAAAACATTTGTTGGCTCGAGTTCTGTGTCTGATTATAATACCTATTATCCTATATATGACATTCTTCTGGATTCATCTGAAAGTGTTATACAAATCTGGAAACGGCGACGGCTTCTTCAGTTCAGCCTTTCAGTCACAACTTGAAGGTAACTCCTTATACAACGCATCGATGCCCCGATATATCGCCTACGGAGCGATCGTTACTTTAAAGAATCATCGGACTGGTGGTGGATATTTGCATTCACATTGGCACCTGTATCCCGAAGGTATCGGTGCTCGACAACAACAGGTGACTACCTATTCGCATAAAGATGAAAATAATAAATGGCGAATCAACAAATTCGACACAGAAGTGGATCCAGATGTCGGTGACATTGAGTTTGTCAAAAATGGTGATCTAATACGATTAGAACATTTGGTGACCACTCGCAATCTGCACAGTCATAAAGAGCCGGCACCGGTAACCAAAAAACACTTTCAGATAACCTGTTACGGTGACAATGGAACCGGTGATGCCAACGATGTGTTTCGCATTGAGATAGTGGGCGGTCGTGAGGGACAAATAGTCGAAACGGTGACCAGTAAAGTAAAGGTTGTCCACTATCTCATGAACTGTGCTCTTCATTCCCATTCAAAACAATTGCCAAAATGGGGTTACGAACAGATGGAGGTGTCGTGTACGCCGAACCTCTTGAATGCCAACATTATCTGGAACTTTGAGGACAATCATTTTCCTCGTTTGCCGAATGTTAGCTTTGAAGTGTATGCGCCGTCGTTTTGGGAACGGTTTGTCGAATCGCATGCCGTTATGTTTCAGGGAAACGCCGGTCTCAAACCCAAAGAAGGCGAAGTGACATCTCGGCCGTGGCAGTGGCCAATCAATCTAAAAGTATTCGTACATATTTGAACTTTGACCTTTATTATTTTTTTTACCGTACCGTACATTAAAAACTCATACAATTTACTTGCAATTAATTTTTAGGGCCAATTTTTTTCGGGCAATGAATATCGTATCTATCTATTGGGAAATCCGATTATTTGGTGGTCAAACTTTCTATTATTGTTTGTCTACAGTGTTGTCCAGTTTACCGTTTGTGTTCGCCGCCAACGCGGCTGCCACGAAGCCGACGATATTGCTAAACAAAACACACGTCTGACTAATGCTTCTGTTTGGCTATTTATCGGTTGGGCTCTGCACTACATTCCCTTCTACTCCATGGGTCGTGTCCTATATTTTCACCACTACTTTCCAGCCGCACTGTTCAGCTCAATGTTATCGGCTGTTATAGTGGATTACTTGTTCACAGTATTACCTCAGCTAATGATACCGTCATCATTATCATCATCACACAGCTTACTGGCCGCGAGTGTTCATCATTGGTTACACGGACTTCTTGTATCGACAATTGTCTACAGTTTTTATTTGTTTTATCCGTTGAGCTACGGTATGTCAGGCACTCACTCGCATGAAACCAATAGCACAATGTATGGACTCAAATGGTTAGACTCCTGGGAGTTCTGAGACTATTATCCGACATATATTATATAATGCAGTATTTTTTTATATATATATTGAGATATAAACACCTGTCCACTGACACATAACATCTCAGATAATTTATTTGATCAATCATTTGGTCACTAAATCGACTAAATCTTATAAATTCTATTTTTATTTTTTAGATTTATTTTATTAATATTATTATTTATAAAACATTTATTTAGTTATTTATTTATTTAAGATTAGACATATATAATTTATATTTATATATATATATATATTTTAAAGAAATACAATTTATTTTTTAAATTATTAATATAAAGTGAATAAAATATTTTTATTTATTTATTTGTTATTTGACTAAAATTGATAACAATTATTTATATTCCTGTCATAATGTAATTTACTAAAACAAATATTTGATAGTTATTTTTGTTTTTTAATTAAAACCAGTATTTTTTTAATTTGTTTGTTTGGTTTGTTTAGTAGATATATTAATTATAATTTTTTGGGCTTAAATACATAGAGTAAATTAGAGGTTTTAGTTTTGTATGTTTTTTAAATATTATTTTGGTCCCAATAATTTGGTTTCTTTTTTTAGAAAATTTTGAATTCAATTTTTTGGACAATAATAATATTATTATTATATAATATATTTATAAATTAAATAATTATTTAAATATTATTTGGATATTGATATAATTTAGTCTATAATGTAATGGAGTATTAGATAACTTATGGTGTCATTTATAATGTTATATACTATTTTTGCAAACTTTTTTTGTTTTATTTAAAATTAGTGATCGATTAATTAAATGCAGAAAATCTAATGCTATTTTAATTAATTAAATTTTGTTTTATAAGACAACAACAACAAAACAATTTGTTTGATTTGTGTTACTATATATATAATAAATTAATAAAATATTTAGCAATAATAGGAGTAACCCTGGCGAGTTCTTGGTAAATTTACTGCTAAATAAATAAATATACATTAATCAAATTTTAATTAATTACAGCCAATAACTAATAGTCTTAGCGTGCAATGAGTAGACAAATACATTATATATATATATATATATTGCTGTATATTAACAAATGAAATTCAATTAATATAATTAAAGAACAACTCTATAAATGTAATTGAAGTGCAAATAACGTTAATAATAATAAAAAATAGTTATTTAATGTCTCGATCGGCTATATTTAGTTTTATTTGTGTATTTATTTAGTATATTCACGATATTTTATTTTGATATATTTATAAATTATTTAATATAACTAACAAATTATATTATACAAAATAAAAACTATTGGGGTATAGTTTTTGAGGAGGAGTTTTAGTAAAATTGTTATAATCGTTATATTGATATATTATATGAAGAATTTATTATTTTAGTTTTTATTAATATTTATTAATTAAACCCGAATCAAACATTAATAACGATTAATTAAGCATGATAAAACTATTAGATTTAAATTAAAAATAATTATATTTAAAAATCTTATTCCTATTAATATAATAATAATGCAATTATTGTTTTTTGATGTTTTGTTGCTATTTTTACCATAGTTTTCCTCATTCAATATATAAATTATTACACAACAATCAATAATTTATTTATCATTATATTGTATGATATTTATTATAAGTTATTTACTTAACTAAACTTTAGCATTATGTTACCCAGTTAGATGTATTCAATATAAATTGTATAAATATCATATACAGTACAAGTAATGTTATATAACATTTTTTATAAATTTATATATACACTCTAATATAACAATCTCTATATTTCCGCAATAAAAGGCACTAAAATATTAGCTGAGAAAAAAAATTGCACAAATTTTTTGTTGTTATGTGTGTTTGTAGTCACTATAATAATGTCAGTTAGTTTTTTTATGATAGAAAACACATTACAAAAGAGATTGAGAGAGAAAAAAATCTGAAAGAATAATTGATATCATTTTAACTTAAATAATCATTTTTTTTACTCAAACAAATCGACATTATCTCAACATTTTTTATTTTCACAGAAAATTTCTTTTATCGCAAATTCAAGGGAAATAAAATCTAAAGGAATCGAATTTCACATAAAAAATTTAGTGAAGTTTATTATTATATAATTTTTTCTATTATTATTATTATTATTATTATATTACAAAATTTGTTTGAATTGATTTTTCTATTTGTTTTACTATTGATTTTTAATCCCAGAACCAGAATCTAAACTCTTTTCTTCAACAAAAATAAAAAATCAAACAAATTCTGTATTTTATTTGATGTCAATACATCTTATATAAGTGTTTGTCTGTGTGTGTGTTTGTGACAGTGTGTATGTATAGTATGTGTGTGTGTGTGTGTGTGTGTGTGTGTGTGTGTGTGTGTGTGTGTGTGTGTGTGTGTTATTGATTGCTAACTTAGTTTTATTTTGTCCGTCTATCCCTTTGAACGCTTATTTATACTATAGTAGAAATATCTTCTCTCTCTCTCTCTCTCTCTCTCTCTCTCTCTCTCTCTCTTTCCTCTTCAATGTGTTATGTGCACAACAACAACAACAAAAAAAGTAATTCAATTTGAATTATTATTATATCTTTATTTTTGTTGCACTGATAAATATTTTACACCAACAAAAATATAGTGCAAACACACATTTATTTTTGTCATTATTTTTTTTCATTCTCTATTCGGTGTCTTATAATTCACTACACGATTCAATTTTACACTATATATTAGATACTGTATAGTATGTGTGCTAACTGTATATATAAATTATTTTTTATTTATAAATAGCGGAATAATTTGGTAAATATTTTTATTTTTTCGGTCAATAAGTCTATAATAATCATAATCATCGTTATATAACTCATAATCAATGCCGACAGACATTAAATAATAGGCTAATAAATAATTTATTTTTGATATAAAAAAACAAATAAATTAATATAACGGTAACGTAAAAATTATAATTCTAAATAAATCAAATTTTTATCTATAGACAAGTTAATTAATTTTATTTATTTTTCTTTATTTATTTATTTATGACTTATAATTATATCAATATCCATATAAATTTATATATAAATATACTGTATGTCAAATAATATATATATTTGTCCAACTATTTGTTTAACTAACTAAATGTCAAAATAATGTGAACAATTTTTTTTATTAATGATCAATAATTTCGTTAAACAATATATTGTATTTTTTATATAGATTTAGAAATTTATTAAATTTATTATTACATAATATTTGTATATAAAAATGGCTTTTATATATATATATAATTTTTATTTGGTTTTTATAATCAGAAAAAATGTCTTTTTTAAACAAATATATTTATATATGTCAACCACTCATAAATTTCGCAAAATAATGTTGCCATTAAAAATTTTGCCCTTGATAATAATTTCATGTTAAATAATTAATTTTGTACACATTTTATAAATAATTTAATAGTCACATTCATACTACTGTAGAGAGAAAACAAATTAAATGATAAAATATTATAATAAAATTTGTTTTTATTATTATAATCTTATATCGTCTATAATAAAACTCTTGTACAGTATAATACTATAATAATAAAAATGTCATTTAAATTACTATAGAAATATATACTGTATTTAATTTAAAGATTTGTCAAAATGAATGTGTGAATATTAATTTTTAAACCTGGTTTTAAAAAGATATAAAATATAGTGATATTTTTGTTTTGTTTAAATAACAAAATAAGGGCTTAAATTATTAAAACAATGACAACAATATTTATTTTACATAACACAAGTTGCCATATATTGAATATATACTGTATATTCACTGGTCATTGTTTTTATCAAATTAATTATCGTTTGATTCAATGTTTTTTTTATATATACAACAGTTATACTGTATTTTTAAAAGATAGATATTTTTTTAAAAACTATTAATCTCTAAACTCTTTCTCTATGTTTTTTTTTTGTTTTCTAATAATTAGTCTAATGGTGTCATAACAACTAATAAAAACATTTTTCAAATTTTTATTTAGTCAAATAAATGAATCAATTGTTATAAATTTTACTACCTGTATTAATTAATTATAAATATAGTACACTAATTATTGTATAGTTATAAAAATGTCAATAAAAACCAAAATTAAACAATAATGTGCTAAAAATAATTAAATATTTTTAAAATTTATTCAATTACTGGGCAATTATTCAGTTCATTAATTCAATTAATTAAATATACAAATTGTTGTTATTCATTAAATATTTTGACACTAATTATTTTTTTTATAAAATCACATTTAGTGCATACAATTGTGTGAAAAAACACTAATAATAATAATTTAATAATTAAAATAATTGAAAATATTAATTATTATTAATACCTATTAATAAAAAATCATTTCAAAATAAAAATAAAAACATAAATAAATTATTTATAAAATAAAACAAAATAAAACATGTGTGACATTTTTTTTAATATAATATAAAACATAAGAATAAATCATAATAATAATACTTAAATTGAGATTACAAATTATAAAATTGAATTTATATTATTATTATTATATAATATATTTTAAAACAACAAAAAAAGTTTGTGTGTATTACTATTATAATAATAATAAATTATAATAACAATAAGCCGTGAATTATTGATTTGATTTAAATGTCAGCTTAAAATAAAATCAAATGCAAATCGATAGACACACCAATAGTTTCACTCAATTTTTTTCTCTCTCTCTTTATCCTAATGTGTAACTACTGTATCTCAAACTAGAAGGTAAAATAAAATGAAACTGTTTTATATATATATATCTTTAACATAGAGAATGATAAAAACAAGATTTTAAAATTCATATTATATGAGATACAATACAACACAACAATTCCCAGATCTAAGAAAATTTGTGATTAAATTTATGTTTTTATTTTTATTTTACTCTACTTTTAAACTCTTAAAGTTAGTAACAGAATTGTTGTATCAGTATTGCAATGAATATTCTATACGTTGGAAACTATTTGTATTTTTAAATGAAATTTCTGTATATTATATATAAATAATCATAAGAAAAAAAATCTATTATAAATAATATATAATATTATAGACAAAGTAATGAAATTTTTCATTTTATTTTGCGACATATATATATATATAAATTTATTTCACTGTTCATTTAAAATCATATCAAATGAGTTTTCACGACTACTCACAAAAATAATATAATATAATATAAAACAAAAATTTAAATATAAAGCTTTTCATTTGTTTGATTATTTCCTAATATATATTTATAATATTTATAATAACACTTTGAAAAATAAAAACAAAATTAGTTAATATAATTAATCAATAAAATATAAATTAAATTTAAAAAAATTTCATCGAGTTTAACACTATTTTTTCAATTTAAAAAAATCATATATATATATTTATAAATTCATATAAATTCTTAAAACAAATCTATAGTTAGATTTGGAAAAAACTAATAATAAAATTAATAATAATAATAATAATAATGTTAAATTTAAACAATATTTTTAAAAATTTATATTTGTTTTATACAGTATATATATATATTTATCTTATAAAATATAAAAATGATAAGAGAAATACTATTTAGAATCATTGGTTTCAATACTTATTTTTTTCTCTAATAAAAAAATGAAGATTCAATTTGTTTTTTAAAAATTACTAATAATAACAATATTAATAATAATATTATTGTAATATTTTTATGAGAGGCATATATATCAATATATTAAACAAAAATAAAATATCAGAGATCTTTAAATTTGATACCATTTTTATGCGCTTTGTGGACACCGTTTGAGTGATTGTTGGTTGTCTTACTGTTAGCATCAGGACTAACGGTTCCATTTGTTTGGTATCCGTTAGACAGTTGTTCGTATTCGAGAGAGCACATGGAGGGCAATGACGACAACACCGATGACAATGATGACGATGACCTTGTGGTGGTAGTAGTGGTGGCGGCGGCGGTGGTGGTGGCACCGGCAGAATTGGTAGTCGACGACGACTTCGACTTACGCAATAAAACACCCGAATAAGTACTCTTGTAGAAGTCCCAGAACAGGAACCAAAACATTACGGCATGAAAGCCGATCCACCACATGAAGCCACGCGGATAATTGCAATCACGAAACAACAATTGAAACGAATGAACAAATATAAAGACAAATTGGACCTAAAAAAGCATATATAAAATCCGGTAATTAAAATCACAGCAGTAGTAGATAGTGTGTGTGAAGAAAATACTAACCATTTGAATAGTAGTCATGTATTTCTTCCACCAGAGATATCGGTGCATATGTGGTCCGACGGCAGACAATGCATAATAGATATACATAATAATGTGTACGAAACTATTAACAAAGGCAAAGAAGGTACTGTGACCGCCGGGTGTAAACTTGACGCCCCACCAGACGCTCATCGGCATAACGCCGTGGTGTATGACGTGCAGTGTCGACACGTGCGTAAACTTTTTGCGCAACACAAAGAATATGGTGTCGAAAAATTCCAAGAACTTGGATATATAGTACCACCAGCTCAAGTGGGCCATACCTACTGCTTCCACTGAATTTGAATAGTCAACCGGTTGGCATTTCAAATTATATTTGCCAAACCAGCCATAGATACCCAGTTTGATAAACATAAACAAACTAATGACAACCATCAATGAATTGTAGAAAACCATTAGAAAACGTATGTTATAGGGCTTCCTGTCCTTCATGAATGACGGACCCAAGTATTTTACCAAATAAACATAAGACAGACATATGCCGATTGTAGGCATCGGTGACTGCATTAGTGGCCAGTTCTGCACTCGCGGATCTATTGGATACACAAATAAATTATTGAATATTATATTGAAAATTAAGTTTATATTGAATATAGTCAATGGGTTTTTTATGTTAGTGTCATCTCAAACACATAATCATTAATTTATGAAAATTGAGGTAAAATAACTGTATTTTTTACTCCTATATTTATTGGAGATTATAGTTTAATATTAATTAAGGGCGTCAATCGCATAGTGTGTGTGTGTGAAAGGGATCAGCTTTTTTGGGGAATTATCATCAATTATATATCATAAGCCATATTTTTGGACAGGTATTAACTAATTGATAGTTATATATATATATATATTATGTATAGATATTCTCTATATTTGTGTGTGTGTTAGAGTGAATATTAAAAAGCAATAAATCACTTTTTTAATTATTATAATATTGAAATTATTTTAAATGTTAACATTTATACAATATATTATTTATAGATATGCAATAAAATTAAAATTGTTATTACTGTAGTTGCAAATGTTTAAATTTTATATTAAATTAAATGTAATAATAATAATAATAATAATAATACTTTTTCTCTAATAAATATTGTGCACCAAACTATTTTGCTTAAATAAATAATTTTTAAAATAAATATATATATATAATTAATAACATCAATTATATTTATTTTTCAAAACTCGCTGCTTAAATACCATACATAGAGTATATATATATATATATATATATATATATATATATATATATATAATCTAATAGTTTTAAACCCATAATATTTAAATATTTAACTAATAAAATTAAAAATAGGTTTTTGCAGAGCAATTATTTTTATGAATGACTGAGTAATATCATTGAAATACCCATAAAAACATTGCGATAATAATAATAATAATAATAATAATAGCAATATTATAAATACCAGCGATTGTTATTAATAACTATTTTTAACTCTTATAAACTACAGTATACTGTATTAAATACAAGCAAATCATTAGACCATAACAGCGGCCAACAAATACAAACAGTCAAAAAAACATTAAACAAAAAAACAATCGGTTTTTTGTTTGGTCGGACAAACACCGGAGCGGCAATGAGAAGGTCGGGCTATACCTTTGAACGCATCGGTATGTGTGTGTGTGTGTGGGTGGGTGTTAAGCACCGGCATGTTATGTAATCACAAGGTTTTTTTCGGTGGGGTTTTTTTGGTGCTATTAATCAATTTATACTGTGGTATAATTGGCACCAAAATCGATGGCTTTTAACGGGTGGTTTGGGTGGGGTATTGGGGAAGGGGTGAACGGGCAGTTATATTAGCACCGGTATGTATATTACCTCCATGATCAAACGTTGTGTTGTATATGTGTATCATACCGTCCAAAATCAACTGAGCCATTGTTTTCAAATAATATTATAATTATAATTATTGTGTAAAATGTATTTTTTGTTTGGTTTGTTAGTTAGGATGAGTCACACAAACACATACACAACACTATTATTATTATTATTATTACAGTATTATATAATAACTAAATAATATATGATATATAAAAAAGCGTTTGTATTGATAACTACAACAACAGTCTAGTACTGTATAAACACTGTGTTGTTATCGTTGCAATTGACACAACAAATAATAATAATAATAATAACAATACTATAATTATTAAAAAATTATTATAATATTAATAAATCCAGTAATTGAATGATTGGAGTGAATTAATATTATTAGTAAAACATATATATATATATATATAATGTATTGACTGACTATTATTACAATGATATGGAATATAAGGTCAATATATATTCAAATGGCTTCAAATAGTATAACACTTTTTTAATGTGGATTTGATTTTTTATATATATTTTTTATACACAATATTCCAATTTTGTACTCAAAACAGTACATCAACTCTATGTGTGTGCTCTCTCTCTCACCACTCACTCACACACACACTGTATGTAATGTCTATACTATGTCTATACAGTAACACACTGTTAGTGTGTGTGTGTCTGTATGTCTAATAGTATGTGTAATACATTGAGTGTGTAAAACATCGGCTTTTTTCCAAACTATAATCGACTTATTCAACTGTCAATAGGGCTCTCTCTCTCTCTCTCTCTCTCTCTCTCTCTCTCTCTCTCTCTCTCTCTCTCTCTCTCTCTCTCTCTCTCTCTCTCTCTCTCTCTCTCTCTCTCTCTCTCTCTCTCTCTCTATACTAATGGCGGGTCTATTAAATAAAATTTAGTACATGTAAAATATTTAATTTTTTCTATAACGTTATTTATGAAAACAGTTACCGATAATTTAGTACTATTTAATGGCACTGTAAATGGTAGGTTTTATTATGTACTGTAGTATCAAATAGGCTGAACAATATTAGGGTGTCTAGTTTATTATAATTAAGTTATCTTGGTAGATTTTTTTTCCTTTTTAATATAACTCTAAATACGCATAATTTTTTATACGTGTATTTATCTAATTGTAAAACGTATGAATTAATAATTTTAAATAATCAAAAATTTCATTATTAATATAAATTATGTTCAAATCATGTGATATTCAAAGTGCAATTGATATTAAATAAAAGTTTACAATTAGATTAAATAAAATAATTATTTCAATATAAATATTAAACAGACATTTTAGTGAATATTAACTATTTTTTAATACATTTTATCAATTTATTTACAATTATTTAAAACAATAATAATTAATTTTTTAAAAATATTTTAATATAAAAAAATTAATTAATTATTATACATTTATATTTATGTTAATGAATTAATAAATTAGTTTAATGTCGAAAAAAATGCGTAATGTTTGTGAATAAAATGAATGAATAAATTACTTTTATAATAATAATTATTAAAAATTATTGTATATATAATATTAAAAATAATTTACATAAAAATCTTTCATTATTATAAAACTCCTAATGTATTAATATTAAATTAATACGGTATCCGATTGCCAACGTAAAGATTAACACACATCCGATACATTCAAATCAATGGTTACACAGATTTTTATGCCACTGTATCACTAATTGCATGATTAGTATCCTCCGGTATTTGTGGTGCTAATGGTATATATTAGGACTACAATAATACAATAATTGCATCACTAACTGATCTCTAGATTATATATCCATTTGCAGTACAATTTGCATACAACACACAAATCAATTGCCAGTATTAATAATACATTTATTAATCATTTTACAATTTTATAAAAAGTTTTTACTACGAGTTGTTTGGCTCTTAAAGATATATATCACTTAATCTTTAGCGCCAAACAACTCGTAAAACTCTTTTGTCATTTTATAAGTAATGTCCGCGGCTTCTGGTATTAATTCATCAAACTTTTTGATACTATTGTTATGTTTCATAAAATAGATACTCAATTCACAAGTCTTATAGTCACTGATATTGTGTTTATCTTTCAGATGTTGTCGGGCACTGTCATCCATAACAAACTCGGTGTCGATGTCATCATAACTACAATCGATGCACTCGTATGGATAATACTGTAAATGATGATAGATATGACTCTCAACAGTCTCATCAATGGATAGATTTTTGAATGCATCGATATTATAAACATTGGACACAAATTGACAAACTGGACAAAACATATACAATATACTAGTAGTACGGGTCCTGAGTTCGGGATTTTTCATATACTCTAGAAACCGGTCAACCCATTTGCGGGCAGCTTTGTATTCATAAAAATTTTTGAGATTAGTATTGTCACTGTGATCACGATTATGGTGGCGAAAGTCGCCAATTGTTTTAAACTTTAAATTGCATTTCTCACACTCCAAATATGTGGTCAAATGTCTCATATAGTGGTCAAATGCGTTGCTTTTGTTCTTATATTTTTTCAAACAGAACAAACACGGATAGACATCGGATTTATCAACCAATGCATCAAACTCTTCGTCATCGACTTCTTCTTCAGACGACTCTTCATCGGGAATGTCGATCACAAGCGATGGCTGACTATCCATAACTAAAGACGATTGACTGTCTTTTGATCGCATAGACTGTAAATTAATTACCGAACGCGAACCGGTAGGTTTCAATGTGATTATACTGTCCGATAGTTTCAGACTAGTGGACATTGTTGTAGTGGTTTGGGCTTTGCTGGTGTCGATATACGGTACAAATTGTATGGGAATATTAGATAAATTAGTGTTATTGGGCACCTGTACAAATCGTGTAGTGGTGGCCATAGGTATCGATTTGTTATCGGCGGTGGACGTCTTGATGGATGATAATTGATAGCTAGTTGTAGCCATTGGTGGCACTTTGATAAGCACCTGTTTTGGTGTTTGTTGGCCACTTTTGGTCATTTGAATTGTATGCATTTTAATCATTGACGCGGCGGCCATCGGTGTTATAGTTTGAGGTTTAGTATAGGTAACAGATGGTTGTATCGATTTAAGCGATAATTGGGGGACTAGAAGTGTTGTCGGCTCTCGTAGCGGACCGGGAATCGATTTGGGTTTTAATTGTCTAGTATTTGGAGGAATAGGAATAATCTCTTTTTCTTTTCGCGACAATTTATCCAATTCAACTACTTTGAACTGTTGTGTCCATTTTTCGACCTCAACCTCCAAAGCGTGTCTCTCCAGTTTCGATGTTCGCAAATGTTTATCAATAATATGTCGTCTCATCATTGCTTTCACAGCAGTTTTAACCACTTCTCGGTATTCATTATCTAATTTTTTATCAGTATTTTTTATCTCTTCCTCACACTTACGACATTCAAATGGATAATATTTAATATGTGGGTTAATATGGTTGACATTATTTCCCGAATAATCCTTATCTATATTACGTATAACCAGTTCATGTTTAGCGTTCGGCTCATTCCTAATGTCGAAAACCTATTGACATCAAATAAAATACAAAATTAATAATTGTTTTTAGTTTAAAAATTAATTATTTTTAAACATACACTCATAATACGATCACATGCGGGACAGCCCTCGTAAATGGTTTTACTCCTATCGGGTATAGTCTTAATACTTTCGGACATAGTTTTGATCAGCTGATCCTGGTACTCCAGATGCCGTACCATAAACTTATCGACAGCATCTTTATCGGCAACACTGTTAGTCAAATGGTCGTTCAATAGATGATCCCGGAGCAGGTCTCGGGTACGAAACGTTAGAAAACAATCGTTGGTTCGGGTGTACATCGGGACACAGTCGGGAGTGGCCGGTCTAGAATTATCTATTAATATACAAAAATATGGTGTATCGGGTATGTTGGACATCGTGTGCGGGCGTGTCGTAACTTATTTTTTTCAATTGATTTTCTATTTTTCAATTTTTAATCTATTAAACAAAACAAAAAATTAATCAAATATTACAAATAAATAACTTTTCAGTAATAAATAAAATGTTTAAATACTTAATAAATAATTTATTAGTGATTCAACAATTTCTAGCTATTTCTAGTTTGACTCAAATAAAATCGTTTAAATATTACACTTTAAAAAATATAACATGTAATATAAATAATTATTTTTTATATTATTTGCTGATAAGTTAACAAGTAATTAAATATTAACAAATAGCAATAATGCAATATACAGTTTAATATATATTTATACATATTTTTTTGTGATTATCGTTATGTGTATGTTATCATATCCTTCATATTATAAATTATAATCAGTATAATAATTACTATTATAAACTATGTCTCTGATTGGTTAAATGGTGTAATCTCACAAAAACTATCCATAAATACTAATAGAAAGTTCATAGACCCCTCTCTCCCAGTTTAACCTACTGTATATTAAAATTTAGGCTGTCACACACACACACACACACACACACACATTGCCAATACAATACATGTGTGGTGCATAACTGTCCCCTATGTTAACGTAAACTATTGATGAAAATAGTTGTTTCATTGAAAATATTCTACTATTACATCAATGTTTATACTGCACTTCACTACATTACAGTGTAGTGTAAATTATAGTAACTTTTTTTTATATATATATTGAATGACGCACACAGTAAATGCACAGATAAATCCTATTGTTATTTATTAAGTATAGTTTTAATTACGATTAACTAATAATAAAAATTTTTGTCACTTATATTAATGATGAAATAAATTTGATTTTTTAAAAACTAACCCTATATTGCATTAAACATATTTTAACAGTTTTTTATTCACTTTATCGATCGATAGTTTAGTTTAGATTAAACTAACGATTATATCCTATGAAAATGCCTAATAACCTAACCGTAATGCCATTCAAACCAAATTAAACCATTGTTTCAATGGTTAGCGAGTACTTCATCGGTAAACTACTAAACCTATTGACCATAATTTGATTAAAAGAAAATAAATAATGAATTTTCGGCGAATTTATGTCGAATTTGTCATGACTTTGATGTTCGCTAAAGAGTTTACACTAAATTTGTTAAGATTGGTAAATATGGGTCGAAATCGCTATCTGAAGGATACAAAACTTGATGGTAAGGTTGTGGTCATTACAGGTGCCAATACTGGTATTGGCAAACGGACGGCCTATCACTTGTCATTGAGAGGGGCAAAGGTTTGTCACCTTTTGAAAAGTTTTTATGCGATTGATAGTTATAATGTAAAAAATTACCGATAGGTCATTATGTGCAGCCGTGATGTGACCAAAGGTGCGATAGCCGCCCGTGACATCAGAGCCCAAAACCCCAAAGCAGTTATCGAAGTAATGCAACTGAATCTGTCGTCACTTTCATCTATCAGGCGATTTGCCAAAGAACTAAAGGAAAGAGAGTCTAAAATTGATATACTTGTTAATAATGCGGGAGTTATGATGTGTCCAAAGATGACCACCGATGATGGCTTTGAACTACAGTTGGGAACTAATCATTTAGGTAACTGATTATTGACTTACTATTAAGTTTTATTATTACAATCAATAATTATTTTTTAGGCCTAATTAAGTTTAGCTACCAAATATATTTGCATTTTTATATAATCATTTATCATCAAAATTATATCATTAAATTTGAATTAAGTTCTGGAAACTAGTTATTGACCATTTAATTTGATTCATAATTAACATTTAGTAAGTAATTTCATTTTTAATGTTTTAATGGGTAATATTTTTTACATTAAATTATGTACAGATTTAATGGTTCATAGGTTAAGCAATAGTATACAATACAAAGTAAATTGTGTTAAACTTTTTTTTACTAATTTAATGATCAATAACTAACTATTCCTTTCCCTTTAAATTCAATTACTAATAAATAATATAATTTTGATCACAAAAAAATATAATCTAATAAAAGGTCACTTTCTGTTAACACTATTACTGATCGATACGATGAAGACCTCATCGGACGCCCGCATCATAACTGTGTCTTCAATGCACGGCATGAGAGGACAGATACACTTCGATGACATCAATTTGGACAGTAATTACTCACCGCTTGACAGTTATTGTCAGAGCAAACTGGCCAACATACTGTTTACCCGTGAACTGGCCAAACGGCTAAGCGATTGGCCAAATATCAAAGCCTATGTATTACATCCGGGAACTATCACTACCGATCTGTTCCGACACCTGTCAGGCATTACGGCAATCATTTACCGCACAATAGGATACTTGTTCAACATTGACACCGAACTGGGCGTCCAGACAACTCTGTATTGTGCATTAGATCCCGATATCAGACACGAGTCGGGACACTATTACAAGTATGAATTGGTGACTAACCTATTGGTGACAGCATACATGACAACCGATGATCATCTAATTGATCCACTAATTGATCTATTTGTGTGTCTAATCTATTTGTATTTTTTCTCCCACACAGTAATTGCCGTAAAGACAACTGTCTTCTACGTGAGGCCACCGATGATCGTTCGGCCCGTCGATTGTGGCAATTGAGCCAACAATTGGTCGATTTGGATGACAACTATCGGATCTAATGATGACAACAACATTCATTAGTAATGATGAAGACATTTGTAGTGGATTTGTGTTTATTATATCTTAAATGTAGTAAACAATGAAAAAGTAAATAATAAATAACAATAATATTATAAATAAATAAATAAATGATTTGTTGAATTGTTTTGTAAAAAGTACTGTAATTTCAAAACTATTGAATCAATGAATTGCATTCAATTATATACAGTATTGTATTCATTGCACACAATCCATAGTAATGTGTAGATCGCTATATATTTTCTACAGTATTGCTATAGTATTGAACATTTAAACTGTAATACAATAATAATACTGTAATTATTACAAACATATAAGTAAATAGTGATGAAATTTTTACTAATAACTATAAAATATGTTTATACTGTTATTGTCTAAACAATTGTTGACTAATACGGGGGGACTCTGAATAGTAGGACGTAATTGATGACACATTGACTGACAAATTTGATTCCAATATTATAATAATATTAAATACTTTATTGATATTATTTAATAAACAGACAGTAAATAAAAAATAATTTTTTATTTATTTTTTTATTTTCGACAAAAATTTATTGACCAATTTTTTCTGTACATTTCTATTGTTTTGTTTTTGTATTTAACTTTTATAATGTAATAATAATTGTATTGAGATTTTAAATGTTTAAATACTATTTAAATATAAATACTAGACATGACTTGTGTGCGAATAAATAGTGATGTAATTTGAAAATCATTGTGAAAATCAATAACGTCTACAAATACAACCCGTTTAGTGTATTGATTACAATAAGTATTAATACTAACAAATGCTGACATTATTTGTTATCAATTAATTGTATAATAAGTTTTTATTCGACAGTAGAAATACTCTATAGAAATACGATAACTATTTCTATTGGGTTTCAAATAGAAAACTATTTTTCTATTAGTATTTAGTATTATATTATTGTTAGTGAATCTCATAATACAAGTGATGACCAATTGATTGACTGATTCATCAGTTTGTTTGTAAACACAATGTCGTCGACGACGACCATCGATGTCACCAATTATTACAAGAAGATTATGATCACTGGCCGACTGTGGTATTCGTGCATCTATTTGGATGATTGCGATGCCATAGAGCTTGAAGAAGATTGTATTGTCGACCACATACGGGAACAACATTTGGCCGACAAGTTTACAATGAAACCGATTGTTGTTACCGATGAACAACCGACGGTGTTGTCAGCGGCGGCGACGGCACCCGAGTTGTCGCCGCAACTGGACGTCAAGTATATTGTTGGCGACAATGTGCCTTCTGTAGCAAATTTTCAGTGTCCAATAAGTGATGGCCAAATGTCTACATCATCACAGCCACTACCGAAGCCGATCATAAGTGACAACAAAAAATTGGCCAAAAATTTAACGTTCAATTCATACAATTCAATGTTGTCCTCGAGTTCAACAACGAATGTGAACTACAAAGTGATTAAATTAAATAATCGTCATTTATATAGAAATCAAAGAGAAAACCATTCAAACGACAAGAATTATAAAGGATTGCAGTCACTGAAGGGTCTGAAACAACATTACCGATGCATACCTGTCGACAATAAGAAACTATATTTATGTAAATATGACAATAAATGTCAATATAGGACCAAATCATCACAACTAATGGCTTTACACATCCATTTAAAACATATCGGTGGTCGAGAGTTTCGGTGCCGAGAAACTGGTTGTCCCAAAGTTTTTAAAACTCCACAATCTTTGAGATCACATGAATTGGACCATTTGTGCGGTTTCTGTATTATTAATATGAAACATACAAACAGTGTGTGCGGTAATAAAAATTTAAATAAATATCGCCAAAAATTCATATTCAACGGCCAAAAGTATTATAAGTGTATTTTCATGGACTGTGGCTTTCAATGTACTGTTGGTCATCATTCAGTTATTAAAAGACATATTCATAACCAACACGTCTGTCCAAATCGGGTTCAAATTATTCAATGCAATCAAGAATCCAATCATAACAATAATAATAATAACCTTTTAGGAGTGCAACCAATTGCTGGCACTTCAAGTCCTGATAAGAAGATTAAAACCGAAATTATTATACTATCAGATGATTCCAACTCAGACACTGATTGTAATGATGATGACGAGTCATACAATCAAAAGACTAATTTACTGACACACAAACCACAAGAAGTGATGAATGAAGATGAGGAGGAAGAGAGTTCGTTACCGATTGCAAACTTTATCAGATGTCAAGAAACGGGTTGTAATAAAAGGTATTTTTATATCCAATCATTTGTATCGCATATGCAAAAGCATAAGAAAAAAGTCAACAAATCGGCCGTAAATCTTAAATCCAAACCATTTAATCATCCAAACAATTCCGTAAACAAAATCAATGTTTGGAAGTCTTTTGCTAGTTATTCAAAACAAGCGAATGTCAAGAAGTTGCCGCTGTTTAGTGATCTGAAGAAGTATTGGACTAAATTGGACCACAAAGACTATAAATGCAAATTTAACAATAGATGTCGATATAAATGTAAGACAAGTTATTTAATAATACAACACATCCGTAGTGAGCACTTGAATATCACTAACTATGAGTGTCCACATAAGTCATGTCAATATAAATTTACAAACTTAATGAGTTTAAGGGAACATCTATTGAATCATAAATGCGGTTTCGGTATCAATGATTTAAGTGAATCAGACAGTCATTGTGGTCACAAAAATTTAGTAAAATATTGCAAAAAATTGAGAATTAATGGCAAATACTTATTTAAATGTATTTATAAACAATGTAAATCTCCATTAAAAAAAAATGCAACAAATATAGGTAACATTAAAAGACATATACATAATATTCATGTCTGTCCCTATCGAAAAGATAACAATCAATTTAGTGATAATATTGATGACATTGAAAACATGGAGGAGGAGGAGGGAGAACAAGAATCCAATGGTCAAATCAATAATAACATTAATAACCAAAGCATAGGTAGTAATAACAATACCAATGATGATGACGATGTGTTGATCATTGAAGAGATCAAATGCAATGTAAGGGGTGCTTCAAATGACTTTAAATTATGGCTAAAGAGTAAAAATATTAAATTGAATTATTCACAGAAACTGTTTGACAAAAATAACAAACAAATGGAAAGACTAATCAAAATGAAACAATATTTTCAAAGATTTTCATACAATCAATTCAAGTGTCTATTAGATGACTGTTCATTCATTGCCAAAAATTTGGAATTATTTTCTATGCATCTGAAGAACAAACATTTTATTGAATAATTTTTTATAAAATTTGTTTATAATGACATCAAAACTGTTTTTTTAAATATCATTTTATGTCATCAATTATTTTTAAATATACTGTAATTTTAAGAAAATTACAGGTAATTTATTAACTTATATTTAAAAATCAATAGAGATATTTTTTGTTTGATGGATAATATTTTTTTTGTAAACTATAGTTGAATCTCATGTTGTTTTTTAAAATTATAATTTATTTGTTTTATCAATGTGATCCATAAGATTATCAATTTATTATATTGTTATACAATTCATTTAAAAATTATTTTTATTACTTTTTATGTTACAATTTTTTTTAAAAAAAAGCTAACCAATACTTTGATATCCAAGACATTTAGCTCACAATTATAGCACCAAATTATAGTTATTTATTTGTTGATATTTATTGGAAAGTTTAAACTTTCTCATACCAATAAACATTTGCAATTAAATTACTATTTAGTACTAATTTTAAGCTTTAACACTACATTGTTTAGTCAAACAAGTGTTAAGATTATAGGCATATTAGTAATCATAATAAATATCAATTACATTCCATTAGAGAGAGAGAGAGAGAGAGAGAGGAGTTATATCTCAAAACATACGACTATTTATAATGTAATCCAAGTATTGGTTAGTTTTAAAAAATAAATATTTAATAATCGCACAAAAATTATAATAAAATAAATAAATTACATGATTTTCTAAAAGTAAAACTACAGTACTTTCAATTAATAATTGTATTTAAATATAAAAATAATATTTGAATTTATATTTCATGTTAAAAAAAAGAATCTCGTAATTTATTGTAATTGTTAAATGTGCCTGTATATTTTATTTATGATAATTTTTGATATTTTTCTATGAAATAAACATTTGTGTATTGATATAATTATTTTTTTGAACTAAATGTAAAACAAATTTTATTGCCAATAAATTTGGTTCACTGACATAATGATAGCAAATATTATTATTTTTACTTTTTTTTGATTAGTAATTAATATTTATTCACTAAAGTTTTTTTTGAAATTTTTTTAGAATTTATTTATATGTCATTAAAAATCCTGTGACGAAAAATTGTTTGCCAATAATTAATGTTTGATAGCATACTAACTAAATAAAAGTTTTGTTTAAATAAAACGTTCAATGATTAGATAACTTGATTTTGATATTATTATTATTAACCATTTATTAGCCATAGACTCATATACAGTAGTATAGCCCATTATGAGTGCCAATTCCAGTGTTAGTTCACCGCAGACCTGGCCAGCCGATGACCAGATTACCGATGAAAGCGATTTAGTGGCGTTTACTACCAAATTGGTAGTTAAATGGAAAAGTTTAAAAAAACATTTCTTATAGTTTTTTTTGTTGAATTGTTTGCAGACTTTAAACGATAGCATTCATAATGCAAATCAAACTGATAATCTTAGGTAAGTGTCATCGATGGTAATTGTGTGATGTATTTTTAGTAATGAATATCTTATGATTTAAAAATGTTTGAATTTTAGGACTGGTTTGGTCTACTATGAAGAGATGTCCGAACACAGGTGTCTGTGGGACGACAAACATCAGGAAAATCCCAAACGATTTACTGAGACATTGAAACGATTCAAAGAACTGGATCTAATTGACAGATGTCTTCTCGTCAATGTTAGTGATAAGATAACACGATAATTAATTAACGGATTGTTGTGGTTGTTATTTAATCACTTGTTGTTTAATTTCCCGATAGCCTAGAAAAGCGACTGAAGATGAGGTACTGATGATTCATACGACAGATTACTTATCGGAAGTAAAGAGTACACAGAATGATGAAGACTTGGAACTACTGGAGGAAAAGGCATCCCGTTTTGATGCCATCTACTTTCATCCCAAGACCTACGAGTTGGCCCTATATTCTGCCGGTTCTACTATTGACTTATTAACAGATATCGCGACCGGAAAAGTGAGGAACGGGTTTGCTTTAGTGCGACCGCCCGGTCATCACGCCATGAGTTCCGAGGCCTGCGGGTTAGTACAGCAATGCATTTACAACTACTTAAATAGACGATTAGTTGACTACGATAGTTGACTTTAATTACCGATAAACTGCTTATTTTCCCACTGATTTATAGTTACTGTTTCTTCAACAATGTTGCCATCGGTGCCCAGCATTGTCTTAATAATCTTGGTTTGGATCGCATTCTGATAGTCGACTGGGATGTACATCACGGACAGGTAGACATGAATCTAACAAATAAAATACAAATCTGATCTCAAAAAAAAAGATTTTCTCTAAAAGGCCACTCAATATTCATTTTACGACGACAAACGTGTTTTGTATTTCTCTGTCCATCGCTACGAGTCGGGCGCCTTCTGGTTAGTGCAGGGAATGACTTCTTTTTTAAACATTGTTTTAAAAATTGATTATTTCTTTATATTTAAGGCCCGAACTAATCGAAAGTAACTTCAATCATATCGGTGGCAACAATGCAAAAGGATTCAACATAAATGTGCCGTTGAATGAAACAGGAATGACCAATGCTGACTACCTGTCCATTTGGCACAATATACTTTTGCCAATTGCCTACGAGTTTGATCCACAGATGGTGATTGTATCGGCCGGTTATGACGCAGCATTTGGCTGTCCCGAAGGCGAAATGCTTTTAAGTCCTGTCATTTATTCACATCTTTGTCATTCCTTAATGTCTTTAGCAAACGGAAAGATATGTATTGCCTTAGAGGGCGGTTATTGTATACCATCTTTGGCCGAAAGTGCAGCTATTACTCTACGAACACTGATAGGAGATCCCTGTCCACTAATAGAAGAGTTGCCACCGATAAAAGATTCGATGGTATCATCTGTTTTGGATGTTATCAGCGCTCTGCGTCCATATTGGAAGTGCCTTAAAATGCAGGGATCTTTTGATAGACAATCAGGTGATCCGACTAACAATAACAGACAGCACTTGCCTATTGTCGAATATAAAGGCAAAATGGCTTTAATGGACAAACCGGTCCGTTATCCAACACGTGGCTGTTGTCCCGTTCAAGACGCTGATACAAAACAACAGATCTTGAATGAGATCAATCGCCAGAAAGCCATAACAGATTTGTCGCCGAAATTCACTCAACACCGGACTTGTATTGTATATGACGATCAAATGGAGAGACACAAGAGTTGGTCAACACATCCCGAGAGGCCGTCACGAACTAAATTTATATTCGAAAAGTTAAAGTCGAATAAATTGTTCGACAAATGTCTTAGATTAGAGAGTAGATCAGCTACTGATGATGAAATCAGTTTAGTTCACACCAGAGAGTACATTGATTTCATTAAGTCTACCGAAAAGTTATCTGAAAAAGAGTTATGGGATTTATTCAAAAGATTAAATTTTACTTACATTATAACCGAAACATATAAGGCGGCTAAACTTGCCGTCGGTAATGTGCTTCAAGTGGTCGACAGTGTACTCAGCGATCAATGTCTAAATGGATTTGCGTGCGTTAGTATTTATTAGAAAAAATTAATTCAATTGCAAAATTTAAACCACAGTTTTGATCCACGAGTTTAGGTCCGACCTCCAGGTCATCACTCCAGTCAATCTGAGGCTTCAGGCTTCTGTGTCTTTAATAATGTTGCCATCGCTGCCAACTATGCCATCAGTAAATATGGTCGCAAACGAGTCCTAATACTTGACTGGGATATACATCACGGCAATGGTTGTCAATTAACAAATGTTTGGTTAAATTAAATGAACAGTTATTTAATAAAAATATTTGTTTTGTCAACTGATTATATATACATATATAGGAACTCAAAAGATATTTGACGGCAACGATAAAGTGCTATTCATATCATTGCATCGATACGATTACGGCAAATGTTTTCCAAAATCTCCTAAAGCCGACTACAATATCGGCAAACATGTGGTCAACATTCCCTGGAATGACGGCCCGATGTCCGACTCGGAGTATTTGTTGGCCTTTTTCAATGTTATACTTCCAGTGGCCTATAATTTCAATCCCGATGTGGTGTTCATTAGTGCCGGTTTTGATTCAGCTATAAGTAAGCAATAATCTATTGATGAAAAGTATTTGTCAATAAAATCAATTGATTCAATCAATTATTGAAACGATCAGATGATCCGTTGGGCGAATATAAACTGTCGCCACAAATGTTTGGACACATGACTCATATGATGTCCCGTTTGGCGAATGGAAAGTTGATCGTATGTCTGGAGGTATATCCTGTTGTTTATAATAATAATAATAAATAATTTCCGATAGTAATAGTGATAATATGATTATACTGTATGTTTAAAAAAAGGGTGGTTACAACATAGTGTCCAATGGATTGGCCGCATCCCAATGCCTTTCCGTCCTATTAGGCAATGCACCCGAATCACTGACAAATGTTGTCAATTACAATGAATCGGCGATCAAAACACTGAAACAAGTGATTGCATTCCAGTCGACCAATTGGACAAACTTACGGTTTGATTGGGATTTACCAGAAAACTAAATATAAAAAAACTATTTTTTATTAAATTTAAAAAATAATACTTTGATAATAATTTTATTAAGATTTTATTCTAGTTTATATATATATATATATTATATAAAATTTATAAAGATTTTTATCATTATCTATTAATATACTGTACTTTATTATACAAGATTTTAAAAAAATTACTGTAATCTCTATTTTTGATTTTGAATGAATATAAAAGCAAATAATTATAAAATTATGATTATGTGATATATTTTTCATAAATAATTTTATTCTACTATTAATTATCATACATTTAAAAATTATATTAAAAACTTAAAAGGCTTAAAATTTCTAAATATTTTGTGAATAAACTACAGTATAACTAATAAACAAATAGTTAATTTATTATTAATAGATTTAAAATAGATTAATATTTATTGATTAACTTAACTTTTAACTTGAATTTTAAAGATAGCAAAAAAATTTAGAGAAAGTATACTTTAAATATTTAATAAAAACCATACTTACAAAGTATGAGGTAAAGCAAATGCGTTATACATATATTGTATTTATTAAAATATTTGCAATTTTTGTATAAATATTTTGTGTGTCAATATAAATATCAATATCCAATTAATTAAACAAATATTAATAATTATAAATTATATAAAAGTAATGTTAAAGTATTTATATTAATGAAAACGATTTTATACTTTACTTCAAGACAAACACTTGCAGAGAATCTTTACAAAAATAAGGTATAATTTATCAAATGATAGACTGATTTATAGTTTATTACTGTATTTTAAAGTCAATAAAACTGTTTTATTTAATAAACCTTTTAAATAGTAAGCAATCAAATATGTTTCTATAATACTGTATTTATTATATTGTTTACTAATGTTAATATTTTTTTTAAAAAAAATTTAGCATGCTCCAATAAATTATTTATATTTATCAAGTTTTTTTAAAAAAAAGTTTATTAAATAAAACAATTTTTATCTACTTTAAAATTACCAAGGTACAATAAACTATAGTCAAATTTTAGTAAATAAATAACAAAAACCTTATGGTATAACAAAATTGTATGGACTTTGATCGACACATTTATTATTTCTGGATTTCATTAATAATTCAATTTTTCTATAAGTATGTATAATAATAGAAGTCCACAAATTATAAGTACCGGTAAGTCATAAATCAAGCTCAGGGATTCCTAGTAAAAACCTCCCTTAAACTATATTACAGTATTATAACCCTAGTCTAGTAGTAGACACAGTTATGTTTGAAATAATTTGATACTACAGTACTGTATTAGCTTTTTTAAAAAATACATACCAGTTATACAGCAGTAAAGTGTATTTTGTTTGTGCTTATTGTAAGGACAGTTGATTTTTTAAGATATCAATACCTTATCTGTGAAACATTATCTAATTTTGTTATTTTAAGCGATGATATCTTATAAATGGTCTAATTTATTAAAAAAATATTGATTATATTTTGTTTATTTGAATTTTTATATAAAGTTTTAGATCACTTATTCACTATATTTTGTAATTTTTAATACATTACATACAAAACTTTTGTATGAATACAGTTTTAAAAAATATAATCATTAATAATTTTATAACTTATTTATTATTCATTATAAAAGTTATGAATAAAATTAATTTTAATTAAATATAGTATTACTATTATTTTAGTGACTAAATAAAACAATTTTATTTTATAAAAACAAATAATTAATTTTGCAAAACATTTTAACATTCATCAAATGTGAGATTTAATAATATTTATATATATTTATAATAATAATTATTATTATTATATACTGTACAGTAATACCAATTTAAAAGTTTCAAAACTTTTGTTTTAGATTTCATACAAATAAAAATTTATAGCAACTGTTCTGTGAAAATAACTGTTAAGCCAATGGGACTATAAATATAATTAAAAGTGAAAATTTAATTACAATTTATTATTTTTATTATTAAGTTTGTCATAAACTATCCTATAATCACTAACTTTCCGATTCATTTGAATCATATAATTAATATAATAATAATAATAATTAAACATTTTAAATCTTAAAATACTAAATAAATTTCAAGTATTATTAATTGTTATTTATTATCAATTGCCATAATGCCAACCAATGGTAACTATCATTATTATTATTATCCTATTGTCATCAATGGTAATCTATGGTATGTGTGTAACGCTTGCGAAACTGTTAAAGATTGTACAGAAGATATAGTGTTACATATGAAGTATCATTTTGTAGACAACACTAATGATAGTCATGAAGACACACATCAATCGGACACTTCATTACCCGATCCACCCGTATTGACACCATTTGATGAGTGGCAACAACATCAAGACTCAAACAGTACTGATAATACTAATAGTATTGATGATCAACACCATGAAGAAGAAGAAGAACAACAACAACTACCTAATGGTTTACTTTTATTATCACCACCACTGCTAACACCACAAGTATATGATAATAGTAATGATAATGAAGATAGTGATTGTGATATAATGAAAATATATGATGAAAATCATGACAATAATCAAATCAAGAACCAAGTGATGACCACCGATGATGAAGAAGAATGTTGTTTAACACCAATGAGTAGTCAATTGTCATGTATTGATTGTCATCGAAAGTTTATCTCATTAATTGGTCTGATTGTTCACCAAAAAAAACACTTGAAGTGACAAATGTATTTGAAAAGATTTTTTGTTGAAAAATAATTTCAATTCAAATTCAATCTATTATTTTATGATTGATATTTTGTTTTTATTTATTTTTCTAAATTAAACATTTATATATTTATTTTTATATAATTCATCTCATTTTAATTGTAATCAAAACAGTATTTATTTTTTGCTAAAATTATTTTTATTACTATGATTTTATAAATTAATACAAAAATTATGCTGTATTTTAGATTTATATTACCGATAATCTATATTTTTACAATAAAATATTTTTTTTGCTAATAAATTAAATTACAATTTTTTTAAATGAAAATATAATAGTAAAATGATTGTAGATTACAATATTATTAAGCTTAAACGCGTTAAATTATTTTATTAAAATTTATTCATATAATGAATAACAATTATTATAAATAACAATTTAATAGCAGTATTAAAAGTTAATAAAAATTATATTAAGAAATTATTTGATTATAAAATATATTAGATTTAAATAATTAATATATAAATCAAATTGATATAATTTTATCAATAAATTAGACAAAAAAATAGATTAATTATAATCCATGTATTCATTAGTTTGTTTGTACTGTTTAACAGATTTATCAATGATTTGATCAAATTTTTCAATACAATTATTACTTCTTAGATATCGTTTTAACATTGTTTGACTGTCGGTAATGATTGGATTATGTGTTTGTCTGATGTGATCTTCAGCTATTGAATCCAAACAGAATTCAGTTTTATTATTGTAATTTAAATCACAATCAATACATTCAAACGGCAAATATTGTAAATGATTGTGAATATGGCTGTAGAGGATATCCCCGCTGATTGTTGTTGCTGTCGATGGTTGGCCATTGGCCGGGAATTCAAGTACGTTGACTACAAATTGACAAACAAGACAATTGTGTTGAAATAGGGCACAAGTAGTCATCTTAATGTCATAACTGTTGATATAATTGATAAATTTGTTGATCCATTTACGCTTAATTGTATAATCATTCAAAATGTATTCATTAAATCCCAAGTGATCACTATTGTGATGCCGATAGTCATCAAATGTCTTGAATTTAATGGCACACACAGTGCACACAAGGTATGGCATCATATGTTTAATATAGTGATCGATAGCTCTCTTTTTTGTCACATATTTCTTGTAACAGAACAGACAATAGTAAAAGACTACAGAGTTGTTGTTCTGTCTGTTCCCAAGCTCTTCATCCGACACCAAATCATCCAAAGTGTTAATCTCTAGTTTCAAAACGCGTTTATCGACCTCTGTATACAACTCCGACTCTGTTAGTCTGGCTGTCCTCAGGTGTTGTTCGACAATATGTTGTTTCATCTTTGAATAGATCTCTTTCTCACAAACGGTCATCTCTTTGTGATTTTCGGTAATTTTTTTACAGTCAAGACATTCATAGGGAAAATATTTGATATGTCTGTTAATATGGACGACATTATTGGCAAACCAATCACTATTAATGTTTCTTCTGTAAAATCCCTGTACTATTCCGCTAAATACCTGTTCCCGTAAAATATTACTTATATTATATTAGCTGAATGGCGGCGGCGATGCTATTAATAACAATTATATGATCAAAAATACGTTAGATTTAAAAGTGACCAAGTGCAAAATTTTAGATAATTTTAAACTAAATTATGATTGTAATTGGTCATTTAAAAAAAAATAATTGCATGATTGGGCAGATAATTGCAGTCGACTATATATTATCTGGCCAATCATACAATTAATTAAAAAATGACCAATGACAATCTTATTTAGTTTAAAATTATCTGCAACTTTGCCCTTGGTCACTTTTAAATCCAACGTATTGTTAACCATATAATTGTGATTAATAGCATCGCCGCCGCTTAAGACTCTCTGTACTGTATTATGTATTTTAAGGGGGTTGGTATGGGGGGAACAAACGGTCCTCTCTTAATTAGAGTTCATTGATCGGTTAGTATTGGGGGTAAAAAAAGTCAGTGGGGGAGTAGTACTTCCTTTAGTATATTTAATAATAAGTAGTCATTTAATGTAATTATTGTTAATTAATTATTATTTACATACGATTATAATTCGGTCGCAAAGAGGACATCCGTCATATAAAGTTTGATTCCTTCCCGGAATACGACTGTTCTCAGACATACATACAATGAGCTGATCCTGATATTCAAGATGACTATCAATAAATTTATTCACAGCTGTGATATTAGTGTCCAAAACTAAATGATGGACTAATAGATGGTTTCTAAGCAGATCTCGCGTACGGAATGTGAGAAAACAGTCGTCAGCCGTTGTATACATTGATCTCATGTCAACACTTTGTTGTGAATCAGTTACGGACTGATCGATAAATATACAAAAATATGGAAACAATGGTATTCGTGGAACAGTAGTCATTGGTATTTGGGGAACAGTAGTCATTTTTGTCTATTGGACCAAACAATATAACAATTACAGGTAAAACAATACTTTATAGTATACTGTTTACTGTTAATTATTTTTTACTAATCAATTATCCATTTGTAGTAAAAGTTTAATTTAAAAATTAAATTAATATTTAAACATCAACTAAACATTGTATCATTAAAAAGAAAACATTAATGAAATATTAGATAAATAAACAAAGTTTAAACATATTATTAGCAATACGTAATGCAATGCAATCCAATCTAATGCATAACAGGTATAGTACAGTATTATATTGTATGCCATTACATAACAAATATATGATGTGCTAAAATGTGACGCTATCTTCAATAAAATTATTAATACAAAATTAGCTGTTATTGATATATATATTTTTTTGACTACTGTATAATAACTAATTAAACAAATTTTCAATACTATATATCAAAAACTTTATAAGTGTATTCACGTATTATTTTTATTTATAATTACTATTGTATAATTATTAATGTTAATATGATAATTTTATGGTGATTTTATTGTATTGTATAGTAATTGTTTTATAATCAACATTAATTAATTATAATGTAAACTTTATAACTGTATTTAATAATAATAGGCTACAATCTGTTGTAATGTATAATTTATTGTATAGTCAGCTACTGTAGTACAGTATATTGGTATATAATTTTAGTTTATATAATTTTGTTTTTCAATTTTGTTTTTATTTCCATCTAAAAATATATGGAAATTTTTTTAAAGTTATCAAAGTTTCACAAATAATCTTAAATAACTTACCGTTTAATGTATATTACTTATAACATAGGTGTACTAAAATTATGATTATATCTGATTTTTCACAAACATTATGAATGATCTCACGCCTAGAAAATTGAGATCAAAATAATGTAATAATTTTTGTTGTAATTTAAATATAATAATATAATTAGTAGTCATATTCAAAGTGATTTGATTTTATTGATTGAGTAGACTGTACTTACAATTCATTTTCAATTCCTGGATAAAGTTCTCGAAGAGAGTTGATCTCGAGCTGTATATTTCGCAATTCAGTGAACAAATGATTAACAATTTCAAGATCTTCGTCATTGAGGTTTAGGAGGTATTGTACAAAAGCTTCATTCGGAGCGTCTTCAATGATCGGTGAGTTGTATTCATCGCGTAAACGCATTTCATCGGTTTCACGAACCGATAACAGATCTCTCAAACGTTCAATAGCTTCCAGATGTAGTTCAGCGGGAACCGGATCGTATACACTTCCCGGTCCCGGCTGTAGTTTATCGGTAACCAGATTGTAACCTTTGATGATAATTTCCTCCCGTTCCCTGTAATCAGGTGGTCCACTTCGCCACTCAAAATATTGTTGCACATATAGGAAGTAATCTCTGGTAAACCACAGTCCTGTCAATATATATAGCTTTGACAGTGCGTACTGAAGCAATCCTCCCGATTGGTTACTCATACCTGAAATGATAAAACCAATGGCAGCTAACGACAAATTGATGAGAAACGTACGTCTTGTCTGAGGATATCCTTCCTCCATATAACGCCAGATATCATTTCTGCGACGAAGACTAATGTTAGGATTGGTAAACACTTGCAAACAAACCGTACATTTCATTGTTCTCGAGTGTGTCGGCGATATTATTGTTCTGACCAGACATAGGTAATGGTAACCACTCATGCAATTGCATGGAAACACAATTGGATTCTTTTTTGTCCATTCATTCTCCTGACATATCGGACAGTTAGGTCTTACATAATCTTTTCGTCTCTTTTGGCGCGACTTTTTCCTTCTCGACCGTCGACTTCTCTCTTCTTTCTCATTGATTTGTCTTCTAATTTCTGCCGAAGAACTGCTTTTCCATTGTTTTGGTGGCATTTTTCCTTTGTTTGGTTGGACACCGATAAGTGATTTGATGTCTGTTTCATGTATTTTAAAAGATTTAGAATATTTTTTCTTTAAAAATAAAAATAAAATTTTAAAAACCCATTATTGTAAAAATAAAAAGTTTATCATCAATTTTGTAATATATTTTGTACACTCAACTACACAATAACTTAGTGACAAAATTATTGTGATTATCTCAAAAATCTAAAAAAACATTTGATAAAAAATTATTTCAAAAATCAATATAATTTTTTTTATATATATAATCTTTGAATAAAATGATATTTAATAAATATATGAAATCATGATTTTTAATAATAAACTAAATTCTAATAAATATATTTAAGGAATATATACTATAGTTATATATATACAGTATATATATATATATATAATTATGAAAAAATATTAATATTGTATAGTTTAAAAAAATATATTTTAGTATTTTATTAATTTAGGAATTTTAGGAATTTTAACATAAAATTGAATACAGTTTTATATTAATGGCTTAGACATTACTGTTTATATGTATGGCTGACACAAAATTGTTGATATTATTATTTTGTTGTAAATTTCAAATAACTTTTTTTGTGTCAAACAGTTTGTAAACACAAACACATTGACAGTCAGTACAGTAGTAATGAATGTTATGGTAAGTGAAACACCCGATAGTTTTGGCCAATCATCGACAGATGTTGTCCGACCACCCGATGAAACAACAGTTAGTCCAGCGGTGGTGATCCCTGAGGACGGTGCGGAAGACAAGTCGATCAGTGCTGATCCGCAACAACAACAGTCGGCCTCAGACATCGATGCGACCAAAATTTTGGTCATAAACTTCGGTTCGCTGTACTTGCGGTTGGGCCGCGCCTGTGATCCGATACCCAAATGTGTCCACAATGTAATCGCTCGCCGCAACCGAAGCAAACAATTGCCGCCACGCGAAGACAGTCTGTTGATCGCTGCCAATGCCGTTGACGCCGAACTCGAGAAATGTCTGGACAACTGCCAAAAGAGTGTCACAAACGTATTAACCGCATGTCGTACTACATCTGGTCGACCAATAAGTTCAACCAATCGTGAAGTTATTGTTGATTTTAATAGACGATCAAAACCTATTGTTTTGTCGGCCAATAGCACAGCTAACGGTAAACACTGGACTCAAGTGGACAACAATGAAGATGTTCTTATCGGTGACGATGTCCTCTATCTTAAACCCGGACAACCCTTTCATATAAGGTGTCCAATTAGACGGTATGTTCTCATTAGTAGTCAGTAACTTATGAAAATTATATTACCGGTAAAATTACAATTGTCTTAACCTCAGCGGTAATCTCAATATCAACGATGCTTTGGGCGGATCTCTGACAACAGTCATTGCAGACTTGGAAACCATTTGTCGCAAAAGTATTACTAAGTATTTGGAAATACCTGTCAATGAACTAAATCAATATAAAGTAGTATTAATAATACCAGATGTCTATAACAGAAATCATATCAAGTATTTGATTGATATGTTGTTAAATGATATGCGATTTCAATCATGTCTTGTCATTCACGAAGGTTTGCATTTATTTCACATTTTAAAAATTATTTCCTAAAAACTAATTTATTTTCATTTATTTCTATTGATTAGCCGTATGCGCGACATTTGGTGCGGGACTGTCTACGGCTTGTGTTGTGGATGTTGGACATCAAAAGACAAGTATCTGTTGTATTGAAGACGGTTTCGGCTCAAGAAATAGTCGTCTGACACTGGATTACGGCGGAAGTGATATCACACAAGTGTTTCATTATCTACTAAAACAACTATCATTTCCCTATGGATGTAATAACAATTCACAACTCGGATCACTATTTCTGCAAGACTTGAAAGAAAAATGGTGTCATTTAGATGTCAATAGTTATACACAAAAGGAAAAGCATTTTCGGATAACAATTCCCGAACAGCCAGTACTCGAGTATAAGATAATAGTTGGCGACGAATCGCTTAGAGCTCCGTTAGCTTTCTTCTATCCGGATATGTTTGCCTTAACCATGAGTTCTGGAAAACGAATGCGAATACTTCGACGAAACGAAGGACATCCAGATGATCCGTTTGATGAAAACTATTTAATTTTGACAAAACGAAAATATGGAGACAATAGCGATAATTTGTCGCAAATCACTAATGACACGACCGGTACGGACATCAACATTGACGACGACTTGGATGTTGGATGCGATGTGATCACAGCTAACGATAAAGAGATCAATTCTGATCAACAGTTGCTTAGCTTAGATCAGGCTATCATACAGTGCATAGAACAGTGCGAATCGGACGATATGAAGAATCGTATGTTTGGATCAATACTGTTATGCGGCGGTGGACTGGCCTTCAATGGTATTGATAAATGGCTTCTCAATTGTCTGACAAAACAAGTTGGACCACAATTTGATTCACAAAAGATTGAGATAATCATAAAACCAAAAGATATGGATTCGCAAATTGTCAGTTGGAAGGGAGCAGCTGTACTAAGTCTATTGGATTCGGCACAAGACTTGTGGATTACCGGCGATGACTGGAACCGATTGGGTCTTAAAGTGTTAAGAGAAAAAACATCATTTGTTTTTTGATTTTTTTTAATAATAAATATTTGTAAAAATCATTGTAATATACTTTTGAATTGTACTTAAACTTATAAACAATTTTATAATGTAATTTTTTTTTTTAATTTATAAATTATTTATTTATTAACTTTTTATTGCCTGTAATTTTAATATCTGTACCAGTTTTTCACTTTTAAAATAAATGATAACTGATTTTTTTTTGGAAAATAACATTTCAATTGAATTAAAAATTATTTCCATTGTATTCAAAATTATAAAAATGGTTTTACATTTGAGAGCATAACTACCTGTAATACTAAACTATTTGATAATTATTCAATTTCAATAAAAAAACCAAAATATTTTAAAGTTTAAATCAAATAATTATAGGCTTAACAAAGTAGTCATATTTATTATATTATTAATATATATTGAAAATGATTTGAATTTTATTTTATTTCTCGTTGTCTTTTCAGTGTCTTTCAAATATTTCCATTAATACTAAATATTATAATAATTTTTTTTTTTGGTGACGAACTTTTGATATTATAGATAAATTTCCAATTATTTACTGAATCAAACTCAACAACAAATTTCTAATATTTTAGTTTTTTTTAAAATTAATAAATAACATTTAGTTGAATAGTTTATTTTTATACAAAAACATTTTTCATACTTTATAATTACTTATAATCAATCATTTATATGGATCAGTTACATGCTGTATAACTCTGATAGGTAAATTTTTGTATAAACTATTTTCTAGTTTTTTTTATATATATATTTATAGTTTGTATCAGTTTATTGGGTTTTTTTTTAAATATTTAATTTTATTATAACTAAATTATTGCTATAATATTAATTGTATAAATTGTTTTTTAAAATATCTATTTTGTTTATCACATATTATAGATATGAATAATTTGATGACAACAACAACAACAAGAAAAGGAGATTCATTTGAGAGGTTTGGCGACGATTTGGCACAACTGTTGGTCAGTTATCTGCCAATTGATAGCAGACTTAGACTGGAATGTGTGTCCAAACAGTTCCAGTATGTGATATACAATACTCAAGATTATATACTATGGGATAACACACAGATTGCCAATCCTTGCAGACATTTCAATTGTTCACAATGTTTGTCAATTGGATTTGAAAAGATACTGAAGAAGTGTCCATATATTAAGTATATTAAATTCAATGGTATGGACGCCATAATGTTTACCGATCACTATTTGTATCTAATGATAGCCAACTGTCCTTATTTAAAATGTCTAACAATTAAATTGAAACAATCAATGGCTTACACTTCACTAACCTCTTACATGTTTAGTCAGTTTTTGATCCGATTTGCCGGACAATTACAATCCATTAGTATCTTTGGATTTAATCACATATTCAATGAATTATTGTCTTATCTGGACATTAGTTATGCGCCAAATCTGAGAAATGTTTATCTAGAGTGCGATGATAAAGACTATTTCATTGAATTGAATCGCATCTATTACTCGACTAATGTCAATACACTGCCAAAGACATTGGATTCACTGGCGTTTGTCGTACAACATGAAAGTGTACAGTTATTTCAGACATTTGCCGCCAATTACGGCCAGCAAATCAAATGTCTTCAGATTCTGATCGGCGGACGTTTTATACGACAATATATGAATCAATTGAAGTCTGGTTTTTCACAAATGAATGAATTAACTCATTTGAATCTAATTATTGATACCTCAGATGAAATCAACGATGAAGATGAAGATGAGGATGAAAATGAAGATCTTTGTATTAGTGAACTTTTGGTTGCATTAGTTCAACAAATTGCTAAAAGTTGTGCAAAATTAACAACTCTTAAGATAAAATCTTATAATAACGAAGATATATGCAAAGGAACCGTTTGGATACTGATTGAAATAATATGCCATAAAATGAATCAATTGAATAGTTTATCCATTGAATGTCCCGTCAATTCCCTGAATAACGATATTTATCTAATGACCAGCAAATCATTGTCACAATTGAAACACTTAAGACAATTACGGCTCGAGTTCAGCGGTGCTGTCATTATTAATGACGAGTTCTTTACTAACATTGACCATCACTTGCCTCAACTCCAACTCATAGATATCAAAGAACCGTTTGATATCAGTAGTGAAACAATCAAAAGTCTGGCCAAACTTAGACACTTGAATACCATTCGTTTGTATAGTTCTGCAAACGAAGACATTGACGAAGATCTAATCATTAGTGAACTCATCGATCGGGCAAATGTTACCAACATTTATATTACACGTCTGGGTTCAACAAATGGGTTCATCCGGGGTAAACAAATTTGAACAATTATGTTGAATAATAATAATAATAATAATTATATGATAAATAAAAATTAATAAAAATCTATAAATATTAAAATCTATTAATAATGTTACTATAATTAGTTATTAAATTCTAAAAATGTTTTTTTGTTGATAATAAATAAAAATCTATTAAAAAAATTACATTAAATTGTTTATCAGTTAATTAATGTATAGTACAATACAGTAAACTTGTATAACAAATTTTTTTTACAAAAATAAATTTATTAGTCAATAATCTCAATATTTTTGAATTGTGTTTTCCAAATGCTATAAACTAATAGCAATCCGAGAGACCAGAAAACAAAAATATTAAGATAATGGACACCAATGACTACATTTGGTACTACTATTAGCAACAATTCGGTATGTTTTGGTCCCAACAAATAGTGAACAACTGGTGATTCTATAAGCCATCTGATGAGTGGTGTATTGGAATAGTATAGAGATTTGATCTGAAGTATTGTCACAAATAAAATGGTATAAATAAGTCCATTACAGTCATAGCTATTTCGCTGATAAAACTCACGTAAGGAATATCTATTGATCTTCAATCTGATTGTGTACTGACTCTTACAGGTGCGACACGAATAAAGATCACCGGAAGTGATGAACCAATTTTTCAGACACTCTTTGTGTATGTATTTCATAGTTCCCATACATTTACACGGACTGATTAATTGCTCGGAGTTTTCCCGTTCCCGACAAAAACGACACTCTTTTGGCTGATCACTAGTTCTATGAATCTGTTGGTTGTCATTATTAGCCATGACTTGATGGTTGGCCATCACTTTAATCTTTAAATTTAAACACAACAAAAAAAACAAATCTATACAATTAAAAAAAAATTTTAATAAAAAATTTGAAATTTTATGTGAAATTTTTTTGTTGTTGAAAAAAGTACAATTATTTTTCCCAATAAAACAATAAAAAAAAGGTGACTATGAGTACTAGCGAACAGGTAGCTCCAATGACACAGGACAGTCAATGCCGTATATGTCTGAGCGATGAGGAACGGGAGTCAATGATCAATCCCTGTCAGTGTTCCGGTTCGCTAAAGTATACCCACAAACAGTGTATTACACAATGGGTTAATACAACTCAAGCCTTACAGTGCAATATCTGTAAATCAGACTACAGGTGCAGATTTGATCGCAAAGGACAAAATGTGTGGACATTTATCACAAGTCATGCCATAGATATACTATATGTTTTGGTCACAACTTTCCTCTATATTCTTCCAACTGTCATAATCTGGACAATGAGTTTAGAATCAGTAAACAAAATTAGAGTCCGGTGTCGATGCAAACCATTATCTGAGTCTCAGTTTCTTTGCAACAAAGTTTTATCACTGGTTTACTGTTGCATCTCATGTCTGATCCAATGGTGGCTATTCTTTGGCCATCTCATCAATGAATGGAGAAAACACTATATTTATGTTATTGTTAGTTGATTTACAGCAATCAATAAATAAATATATCAATTGAATAATTTGTAATTTATTTGCTTTAAAGACATTAATAACTTAAACATTAGTAGTAACAGTAATAACAAAATTATAGTAATTTTGTATTTTCTATTAAATAACTAACTTTCAATAACTAACACACTTGTAAGCCATCGATTGCTAGAAATGTCTTTATGGCTTAAGGACATGTATGTGATGCTCATCCATCTGATACAGTGTTTATCAGATCTCAAATTGTTGGCAAACGATACACACAACTTTGATCAGTTGATTGATAGTGAAAGTCATCAAATTGGTCACAAATTAGTAAACCCCTGTATGTTATGTTAATTTATAAGTTTTAATAAGTCTCAAGCAATGGTTTAACATTTCGTTATATTTTTATTAAAAATAATACGTATTATAGTATAACAAAAATTATCTCAAGCCATGGTTTAACATTTCGTTATATTTTTATTAAAATTATTACGTATTATAGTATAACTAAAATTATCTCAAGACATGGTTTAACATTTCGTTATATTTTTATTAAAAATATTACGTATTATAGTATAACAAAAATTATCTCAAGCCATGGTTTAACATTTCGTTATATTTTTATTAAAAATAATACGTATTATAGTATAACAAAAATTATCTCAAGCCATGGTTTAACATTTCGTTATATTTTTATTAAAATTATTACGTATTATAGTATAAATAAAATTATCACAAGACATGGTTTAACATTTCGTTATATTTTTATTAAAAATATTACGTATTATAGTATAACAAAAATTATCTCAAGCCATGGTTTAACATTTCGTTATATTTTTATTAAAAATATTACGTATTATAGTATAACTAAAATTATCTCAAGCCATGGTTTAACATTTCGTTATATTTTTATTAAAAATAATACATATTATAGTATAACTAAAATTATCTCAAGCCATGGTTTAACATTTCGTTATATTTTTATTAAAAATAATACATATTATAGTATAACTAAAATTATCTCAAGCCATGGTTTAACATTTCTTTATATTTTTATTAAAAATATTACGTATTATAGTATAACTAAAATTATCTCAAGCCATGGTTTAACATTTCGTTATATTTTTATTAAAATTATTACGTATTATAGTATAACTAAAATTATCTCAAGACATGGTTTAACATTTCGTTATATTTTTATTAAAAATATTACGTATTATAGTATAACAAAAATTATCTCAAGCCATGGTTTAACATTTCGTTATATTTTTATTAAAAATAATACGTATTATAGTATAACAAAAATTATCTCAAGCCATGGTTTAACATTTCGTTATATTTTTATTAAAATTATTACGTATTATAGTATAACTAAAATTATCTCAAGACATGGTTTAACATTTCGTTATATTTTTATTAAAAATATTACGTATTATAGTATAACAAAAATTATCTCAAGCCATGGTTTAACATTTCGTTATATTTTTATTAAAAATATTACGTATTATAGTATAACTAAAATTATCTCAAGCCATGGTTTAACATTTCTTTGTATTTTTATTAAAAATATTACGTATTATAGTATAACTAAAATTATCTCAAGCCATGGTTTAACATTTCGTTATATTTTTATTAAAAATAATACATATTATAGTATAACTAAAATTATCTCAAGCCATGGTTTAACATTTCGTTATATTTTTATTAAAAATAATACATATTATAGTATAACTAAAATTATCTCAAGCCATGGTTTAACATTTCTTTATATTTTTATTAAAAATATTACGTATTATAGTATAACTAAAATTATCTCAAGCCATGGTTTAACATTTCGTTATATTTTTATTAAAATTATTACGTATTATAGTATAACTAAAATTATCTCAAGACATGGTTTAACATTTCGTTATATTTTTATTAAAAATATTACGTATTATAGTATAACAAAAATTATCTCAAGCCATGGTTTAACATTTCGTTATATTTTTATTAAAAATAATACATATTATAGTATAACTAAAATTATCTCAAGCCATGGTTTAACATTTCGTTATATTTTTATTAAAATTATTACGTATTATAGTATAACTAAAATTATCTCAAGACATGGTTTAACATTTCGTTATATTTTTATTAAAAATATTACGTATTATAGTATAACAAAAATTATCTCAAGCCATGGTTTAACATATCGTTATATTTTTATTAAAATTATTACGTATTATAGTATAACTAAAATTATCTAAAGACATGGTTTAACATTTCGTTATATTTTTATTAAAATTATTACGTATTATAGTATAACTAAAATTATCTAAAGACATGGTTTAACATTTCGTTATATTTTTATTAAAAATAATACATATTATAGTATAACTAAAATTATCTCAAGCCATAGTTTAACATTTCGTTATATTTTTATTAAAATTATTACGTATTATAGTATAACTAAAATTATCTCAAGACATGGTTTAACATTTCGTTATATTTTTATTAAAAATATTACGTATTATAGTATAACAAAAATTATCTCAAGCCATGGTTTAACATTTCGTTATATTTTTATTAAAAATAATACATATTATAGTATAACTAAAATTATCTCAAGCCATAGTTTAACATTTCGTTATATTTTTATTAAAAATAATACGTATTATAGTATAACAAAAATTATCTCAAGCCATGGTTTAACATTTCGTTATATTTTTATTAAAAATAATACATATTATAGTATAACTAAAATTATCTCAAGCCATGGTTTAACATTTCGCTATATTTTTATTAAAAATATTACGTATTATAGTATAACTAAAATTATCTCAAGCCATGGTTTAACATTTCGTTATATTTTTATTAAAATTATTACGTATTATAGTATAACAAAAATTATCTCAAGCCATGGTTTAACATTTCGTTATATTTTTATTAAAAATAATACGTATTATAGTATAACAAAAATTATCTCAAGCCATGGTTTAACATTTCGTTATATTTTTATTAAAATTATTACGTATTATAGTATAATTAAAATTATCTCAAGCCATGGTTTAACATTTCGTTATATTTTTATTAAAATTATTACGTATTATAGTATAACTAAAATTATCTAAAGACATGGTTTAACATTTCGTTATATTTTTATTAAAATTATTACGTATTATAGTATAACTAAAATTATCTCAAGACATGGTTTAACATTTCGTTATATTTTTATTAAAAATATTACGTATTATAGTATAACTAAAATTATCTCAAGACATGGTTTAACATTTCGTTATATTTTTATTAAAAATATTACGTATTATAGTATAACTAAAATTATCTCAAGCCATGGTTTAACATTTCGCTATATTTTTATTAAAAATATTACGTATTATAGTATAACTAAAATTATCTCAAGCCATGGTTTAACATTTCGTTATATTTTTATTAAAATTATTACGTATTATAGTATAACTAAAATTATCTCAAGCCATGGTTTAACATTTCGTTATATTTTTATTAAAATTAATACGTATTATAGTATAACAAAAATTATCTCAAGCCATGGTTTAACATTTCGTTATATTTTTATTAAAAATAATACGTATTATAGTATAACAAAAATTATCTCAAGCCATGGTTTAACATTTCGTTATATTTTTATTAAAAATAATACGTATTATAGTATAACTAAAATTATCTCAAGCCATGGTTTAACATTTCGTTATATTTTTATTAAAATTATTACGTATTATAGTATAACAAAAATTATCTCAAGCCATGGTTTAACATTTCGTTATATTTTTATTAAAAATATTACGTATTATAGTATAAATAAAATTATCTCAAGCCATGGTTTAACATTTCGTTATATTTTTATTTAAAATATTAGGTATTATAGTATAACAAAAATTATCTCAAGCCATGGTATAACATTTCGTTATATTTTTATCAAAAATAATACGTATTATAGTATAACAAAAATTATCTCAAGCCATGGTTTAACATTTCGTTATATTTTTATTAAAAATAATACGTATTATAGTATAACTAAAATTATCTCAAGCCATGGTTTAACATTTCGTTATATTTTTATTAAAAATAATACGTATTATAGTATAACAAAAATTATCTCAAGCCATGGTTTAACATTTCGTTATATTTTTATTAAAAATAATACGTATTATAGTATAACAAAAATTATCTCAAGCCATGGTTTAACATTTCGTTATATTTTTATTAAAAATAATACGTATTATAGTATAACTAAAATTATCTCAAGCCATGGTTTAACATTTCGTTATATTTTTAT